GTGATGGAAGCACATTCACACTCTTTGGCAAGTATGTGTAGGTCCTGGAAATCAAACTCAAGTTACAATTCTTGACAGCAAGTGCCTTTACCCACTGAACCATCTTGTTGGCCCTTGAATGATCTTTTAAACAAAAGACTTTATGTGAAAATAATAAAAGAAAAGAAAGTGAAAAGTCAGTCACAGAATAGGAGAAAATCTTTGCAGAAAACATTTCTAATGAGACAACCATCTAAAGCATATTAAGAAACCTAGAACATAATAACAAAAGATAAGAGTAGAAATTATTAAAAGTCAAATAATCTTATTAGACATCTCCCAAAAAATATGTAAGAGGGGCCAATAAACAGGAGTGAAAGTATTCAGTTCCACTAGCTCTTAGGGAAATGCAAACCAAGATACACAGACCCTGTGTCAGATCTAGCAGGATGGCTATGGCAAAAAACAGACCAAACCATGGCAAGTGTATGAAGGTCTGGGGCTTCCTTCATTGTTGGTGGGTCATTAAATGGAGTGGTCTTTTGGGGAAATAGATGAACAGTTCCTCAAAAATGTTAAACACAGTGTTACTGTGTAACCCAGAAATGCTACTTTGTTATATCCAGTGAAATATCCCAGACAACTGAATAAATATAGTTACACAAAATCCGTAAGTCAACATTCATAAAGTATTACTTGTGAATGACAAGAAGTGAAAGTACCTAAATTTCTGCCAACTTAAAAAAGAGATAAATAAGATACCGTCTATTCTGGGCCCGAGAGATGGCTCAGTGGTTAAGAGCACTGACTGCTCTTCCAGAGGTCCTGAGTTCTATTCCTAGCAACCACATGGTGGCTCACAACCATCTGCACTGGGGTCTGATGCTCTCTTCTGGTGTGTCTGAAGAGAGAAATAGTGTACTCATATACATAAAATAAATAGATAAATATTTTTAAAAAAGATACCGTCTATTCGTGGAATGGAGCATTATTCAGTCATTAGCAGCAGTATTGATTCATGCTACAACAAGTGTAAACCTTGAAAACATCACATAGGTGAGAGAAGGCAGACAGCCACAAAAAGACTATACACTGTATGATTCTGTTTATATGTAGAGAATGGACACACACAGAGAAAAGCAGCTTAGTGATTGCCTAGGCTTGAGGACTGATGGTCTCAGTTGTACGAATATAGTAAAAATACACTAAAAAACTACATGGCAGTACTCTTTAGATCAATAGATAACATGGTGAATGAATTATATCTTAGTAACTTGCTTTTCTGTTTTTTGGTCTCACTCTGCAGCCCAGGCTGGCCTTGAACTCATGGCAGCACCTCTGCCTTAACCTTGGACCGACAATAGCGGTGACTATAACACAAGCTTTGTGGGTTTTGTCAATGCTGTTCTTAGGGTTTTTGTTGTTGTTGTTGTTGTTGTTGTTTTGTTTTTTAAAGCATAATGGAGGACAAAAAGAACTAAAATTTAAAAGCAAAAGGCTCACCCTTTGAAGTCAGTTTAAGGTGGCAAAATAGGCAGCACAATATTTCTGTTTTTAGCTCTAATAGTCTCTAATTTTAGCAAAACCCAGGCCTGTAATATTATGCTGAAAGCATTCCATCGTCATATGCAGAAGATTAGCCCCTCTCATAACAACCATCTTTAATGTGTTCATTTTTAAAAATGAATTATACATTAGGTAAACACTAAAAATGTATCAGTTTCCTACCTACTTTTATGTGATGCCTGTTTCCCCAGTGTGTTCTGTTAGAACAGAATTATAGCTTTATTTTGGTACATGTGGTAACAATGTATATATAGACTTCTTTCCTCGACTATGGTCCTCACAATGATAAAGATTGGACTACTACCAAGCTGTAAGACAAGACAGTTCAGGTTTGAAGAGATGGCTCAGCAGTTAAGAGCACTTCTTGTCTTCCAAAAGGGCAGGATTCAATTCCTCGAAACACATGTTGGCTCACAACCATCTGTGTTTCCAGTTCTAAGGGTTCCACTGCCCTCTTCTAAAGAGCTTCTGTGGTGCACATGCATGCATGCATGCAAGCATTAAAGCAATACAATAAAAATAAATAAATCTATTTATTTAGTGCTTGGACTTTTAGTCGATATAAATTTGTCAGAGTACTTAAACTCAGTTTCATTAAATGTAAAAGATAGAGGGATTGGAGAGATGGCTCTACAATTAGGAGCATGTGCTGTTCTTCCAGAGGAGGGGTGTGTGTATGCTCAATTCATAGCAACCACATGGAGGATCACAAACTTTATAACTCCAGTACCAGGTGATCTAATGCTGTCTATTGGCCTTCACAGACACACAGGTACACAAGTGATACACAGACATACATGCAGGGCAAAACACTTGTACATAAAAAGTGAATCATAGTAAAAAAAAACTAAAAAAAAATGTTGGAGGTAGTATTATTTCAAGTTATTCTTAGAACTAAAGAAAATGAGGGATATAACATAACTAGCACAGTGTCCAGAACATAGTGAATGCTAAAGAACTGTTGTGGTTATTACTTATAGTTACAGTAACAGGGGATTGAGATTATTAAGACACCTGTAAACAGAGCTAGGGAAATGGCTGTCAGTAAAGTGCTTGCCATGAAAGCATGAGGACCTGAATTCAATCACCAGCACCTAGGTAAGAGTTGAGTGCATCTGTTATCCAGGACTATGGAGAACCTCTGAGGTTTGCTAGTCAGCTAATCTAGTCAATCAGTGAGCTCCAGGTTCAGTGAGGGATCTTATCTCCAAAAGTAAGGTGAAAAAGGAATGAGGAAAACTCCCAGCATCAACCCCTGCCGCTACATGTGCTTGCATGCAGGCTCGTGGCCACGTGTACGCACAAAGAAATGGTCGAAAACAAGATTACAACATGGCTGAAAATTGAGTGCTAGCATCAAAACAGCAAGTGCTTGTGAGTTTTCCTATTAGGCCAGTGTTAGACACATAAACTGTATATTTAGTCAAGGTACTCGGACAGTTTTCATATCTACTGATAGGATATTCTAGAGAGAAGCTTGCTTGCTATACATAAACTGTGATGTTGCATGAGTATATTTAAGAGAATGTAATGTGTGTCACATAATGCTGTGGAGCCTCGATTTGAGTAAGAGTCTTGGAGAGTCTCCTCTGCTCTTACTGTGGGGATTGTCCTATGCATGTTCTTACTGAGAGTAGCACTCTTTAGGCATTTTAAAAAACACTTTTGTTATTTATTTATTTATTTTCTATGTGTGTGTGTCTGAGTGTGAATGCACCACAGCATGAGTGTGGAGAAAAAAGGTAGTTACTATATTTGGAGAAGAGAAAGGGTTTGTTAAAGTATGATCTTGCAAATTGTTCTTGAGCTATTTTCAAAGGGTAGAGAGAGTATGGCTAAGAGTTATTGGTTGGGCATTGGGTAAGAGTCACAATACAGGCTGTGGGAGAGTGAGAGAGTGTGGATGTGGGAGGAAATGAAGCAATTTGGAAATAAGTGATTTTGGCATTAAGGAGGATAGATCATAAGATGCCTGTAATATAACCCCATATTCTAACTTCCTCAAGGCATTGACTTAAATCTGCTCAGAAATTGTTACCTTCAACCATGTTGTTTAAACCTGAGTAGTTATTGGAATTTCAGTACTTGTCTTAACTTCTATCAGGATAGAGATTGGTTTACAGAATTGATGTCGGCAGTCTCAGTGCAGCTATAAGATTGCTACTAGCACTTAATGTAAGTGTGAACTTGGTAAGTCTTATTACTTCTTACATGATTTCATCACTGTGGAAAGGGGATAGTTATTTATCTAAAATGATGTGAGGATGAAACATTCCTAGTACCTGCTACCTGAGATATGTTTTCTATTGCATCCTGCATCAGTGGAAAAGATTGAAAACTATAGTGTATATTGCCTTAGTGGGATTTAAAGTTCCCAACTAATGTCAGAGTTAGCATGTCATTACTAAACAAGTTTCCTTCCTTCACACATAATATTCAATGTACTATAAAACATTTTCTCTTAAGCACATTTGGGGAACTTGAGACGGTTTTTTCTCATGTAAACTCTGCTGTTCTATAACTTGCTCTGTTGATCTGGTTAGCCTTGAACTCAAGAGATTCACATGCCTCTGCTTCCTAAATGCTCAGATTAAAGGCACGCGCCACCACCTCCTGTTCTGGAGCACATTTTACTAACACCGGCTGTCTCTTAAGCTTTGGCTGACCAGAGACCGACAGATTAATTAATCGCGTTGACTCTAGAAAGCATTTCCACAAACACTGTTTTGGAGGCTTGCTGGGCGTCCAGTACTGCAGTCAGGACTTAATAGCGTGGTCGCAATGACCGGAAAAGGCGCGCAACCCAGACAGTTCAACTCCTCTTTTGGATTCGTTCTGCCACGCAGATTCATGATCGGTGAGAGCAACCCTAGAATTCCGTTTCACATTAAACAAAATTGCCCTATTCCTTACGAAGGGTGGAGGACACAGCTCTAGAAACCCAACAGTCAGGGACGTGAGACAGTGCGGTCGCAATCTACGGGAGGCTAGTGTGACACCCCCCACCCCCCGGAAGTTTTTGAAGCTCCAGTTACTAGGTCTGGGAGTCACCTTGACCCTCCCAGAAAGGTAGAGAAAGTCCTCCAGCGGAGACGGAGTAAGTGAAACCAAAGACAGTGAACACTTTCATGAGCAGAAGACGCCCTCACGTTTTCCTGTTTTCAGAGGTAGCTAAAGACCGAGAGTTTAAGGGTGACAAGAGCAGGTGGCAGAACTCCGCCCCGTACTCGCTTCCCCACCTTCAGCGAGCACGCTGCACTCTTTCCTTGAGATCCCGCCTCTCAGGCGCGCGCGAAGAGTTGCTGCGCGGTGCACGCTGGGAATTGTGGTTCAGGAGTAACCAGACAGCTCAGGATGATAAGCTGTGGCCTACACGCCCCATGGTGCTGTGCGGCGCAGGCCGCTCCCGGATGTGTGCCTGGCGCCGGAAGAGAAGGCGGCCCCCCTCTCTCAGCCCGGCCATCTTGTGGGAAGAGCTGAAGCAGGCGCTTTTGGCTCGGCGCGGTCCGCTGCAATCCGTGGAGGAACGCGCCGCCGAGCCACCATCATGCCTGGGCACCTACAGGAAGGCTTCGGCTGCGTGGTCACCAACCGATTCGACCAGCTATTTGACGACGAATCGGACCCTTTCGAGGTACTGAAGGCAGCAGAGAACAAGAAAAAAGAAGCCGGCGGGGGCGGCGTTGGGGGCCCCGGGGCCAAGAGCGCGGCTCAGGCCGCGGCCCAGACCAACTCCAACGCGGCAGGCAAACAGTTGCGTAGAGAGTCCCAGAAAGACCGCAAGAACCCGCTGCCCCCCAGCGTCGGCGTGGCTGACAAAAAGGAGGAGACGCAGCCGCCGGTGGCGCTTAAGAAAGAAGGTAAAGCCGGGCGAGGCGGTGGGGAGTCCGGGCTGGCGGGCAGCACGGGGGCGTGCGCCGCCGCTTGCTCGTGCAGCTGGAGGGGCCGCGGAGACCTCGGAGCCCCTCACGGTGCCGGGAGCGTGCCTGGTCCCAAGTCCACGCCGCTCGCAGGCTCGGCGGGAGCCTTCCCGCCTTGGGCTGACTGAGCGTGCTCCGAGAGGGCGGCCCGGGCGTTCCCGCCGATTCCTGCCGGGCGCTCGCCTCCTGGCTCAACGCGCCCGGGAGCAGCGCGGGCACTGCTTCCTGCCCGGCGTGCTCCTGGCTGCCGCTGCCCGCTGTGGGCTCCTGCCCTGCCATCTTGTCCCACAATGGCGCGGACCCTCAAGGAAAGGCCTGGGCTCGGAGTTGCCACTTGGGCTGCGTCTGTATTTGGGGGGCACTGTTAAAAAGAGTGGAGGGAGTTGCTGTTTGTGTCCCACGTGTGCGTTTTGTGTTGTGCCCTTTCGCTCTCGTGCTAGTACTTACTGTAACTTATTGGCGTGAATTATTAAAGTGTTGGAGAGGAGAAGAATTTGGTCCCACTCATTTTGAGGGAGTTCTGAATAAAGGCTGGTCATTAGCAGAACCCATCTCACGGCTCGATCCCCTCTTCCAATTCTCTGGAGCCCCCAGGTCATAGGGCTTTGCCTGCTCTGGGACTCATGGACGAAATAAGTGCCCCCAGCCTGTCACGTCCCGGCAGCAAAGCTCAGTCTGCAGCTTTTCTACCGCACGTGCGTAAAGCGTGGTCGGGTCTTCATTGGCGGTTAATAGTCTCTAACAGGGCACTAGAAGTTTCATAGTTGTTTTGATTTTAGCATTCTTCTCCACTACTGGCTTATTGTGGGTGAAAAGGCAAAGCAATTAGGGGCTAAGAAAAAGTGAAAAATCAATAGGGAGTAGGTATAGAATAACCTGTGAATCTTAAAATTGCTACTATGTTAAAGTGCCACGTGCTCATGAAAGGAATTGTTCCTCATTAGCTTGTGTTAGGTTTTAAGGTTTTTTTGGGGTGGTGGTGGTGTCTTTTTAGTAAAGGCTTAGAGTAAAACATCCAGTACTTAGTAGTAGATTTATAAAAGGAAAGAATTATGTTAGTAGATTTGGAAGCATAGTCTGGAGTGTTAGAAAACATCACTTGGACAGAAGTACTGAGCCGATAAAGCTTCTTCACATCACATAGCTGAATAAGACATTTAATTCCTGATTGGTGTATTTTAAACTGCTAAAATTTACCTCCTTGATGACTGTAATTCACAGAAGTACATTAATAAGTTGAGTAAATAAAGCACATTAGGTAGATGAACTCATTAAAAATGTTCAAAGCATGAAGCGTGATTTTAAATTATTCAGTTTTCACCACGAAGCCAATTTACGATCTTACCTGTAAACTAGCATAAGTCATCAGTGTAGGGCATTTTTGTTTATAGTCAGGATTAAGTTTGTCATTTCTTTCAGAAAACTTTTTCACATTAGTAGTCAGCATTTTTTCTATGTTGTTTCTAAGTCTTCTTCCGTGGGTTGTATTGGGTATTGAACTCAGAACCTTGTCCATGCTGGGGAACATTTGCATTCCACATCCCAAACCCTTAGATCACTCTTAAACCAGAGTTGCTTTTAAACAAGGTTATGTATACATAAGGGGACATTTCGAATAAAAATGCCAGTCAGTGCTGTGTATTAGATAGTGGTTGGTAGACTTGTAAACAAAGTACCTACCTCTAAGAATGGAAACAATTATTAACTTATGTTGTGTCCTGTGTCTGGATAACACAATGCTGAATTGTAATGTTTTTCTTACATAAATTTGTAGCTTTTGTCTATTTGAAGAATTTGAGAACTGGCAAAATGTCTTTAAGTGTAGACCAGGTTTTTTGGGTTTAGCAAAAAAACATCTCTGGTTATTAGTGCAGTTAAGAACTCAAGTATCTGGTAAGTACAGTAAAAGAACCTTGCATGCTTTTTTAAAAAATATCATTTTTCAGTAGATGAATGTATATTTTGTGATAGTGATAGTGGCAGAACCCAGCCTTTTGCAAACTAAGCGAAAGTAGCTCTCAATGAACTACATTCCCAACCCCTTGATGAGTTTAGTAAGTTTTTTTCTGATTATGTAGGCCTCATACTGAATGTTGGGTGGGGAAGCAAGCCATTGTTCCTTGGGTGTGTTTAGCTTGGTTATCATTACAAGGACTGAGCTGGTTCTATAGCTCCACCCCAATACACCATAACTCTGATGAAATTTATGTAAATGCCTTGGTCAAGGCTTGCCCTGAGAATTTACAGAGACTGAGCTTTAAATATTAAGATTTCACCTTTACTGTATGACTGTAAAGATATCTGAACAAATAAATATCTTGATGGTGTTCCATTTTCTTAGAATAGGCACATTATTTAAAATTTTACAAAAAGTATTCCTCATTTTCTGATTTTTTTTTGGACTGTCAACACCTATGGCTTGGAAATTGGAGCATATCTGAAATATTAGGCATGCATTTAACAATCAGCTTGTCTTTTAGAGTATCAATAATCAATATATATTGGTTTTTTTTGTGAGTTTCCTATGTTATCAGAAAAAAATAAAGGCAGAAAAATTAGTTAATGCTTTAAGTATTAGTGCCATAAGTTTTCTATTTTCCTCTTTTTTTTTTTTGAGAGTGGGTTCTGTGACTGAACTCTCAGGGCTGTACATGTTACTGACACCCTGGTAATAAGTGAGCTACAGTTGCAGCCTCCTGAGAATTTAATTGCTAAAAGAAGGTCTTTCTGTGTCTAATTTGTGAAGATGCTTTGAAATCAGATACTTGTAAGAGCAGACCTAGAAAAAGGCTTGCTATCCGTACTAATAATGAAGTGTTTCCTACTGGTTACACGATAGTGTTAAAAAAATAAATTTGGAAGTGTATATAGAGATATGTGTACACATACTTGGACTTTGAATGTTTGGGTCTGAGAAAGATGGTTTTGTTTTTTTTTTTTTTTTTCTGGTTAAATAGCTCTGCTTGATTGGGATGGAGTTGTGACATGGCCTTGATGAATTTGTAAACCTGCCTTACCTAGTCTAGTATTAGTGTTGTAGGGACTGTCTAGTTCAAATAGCTGTCTTAAAGTTGTTTTTAGAATTCATAAGTGCCTTTTGTTTTCCTTTCAGAATTACAGTTTTATAGAATCAAGAGTTCTTTATTGCCTCCGCATCCAGATTATATAGAATAGTACAGGGTGAATTTCATTCTTCTTAGGGGCATATTTAGTGAATATCCAGTTCTTTGTTATTTATGAGTGGCTACTGCTTTGATACAGGGTATCTCTGTATACCTCTGGCTGTCCTGGAACTCACTCTGTAGACCAGGCTGGCCTCAAACTCAGGAATCCACCTGCCTCTGCCTCCCAAGTGCTAAAGGCGTGCGCCACCACTGCCCAACTAGCTTTGATGTTTTAAAAGCCAAAAATATATCCCTCTTGATTGAACTATCTGTATGTTTAAAATTTCTTAGTAAGAGGCTTTGACTTGGAAACTAAAGGAGTGATGATACCTAGTGATTTTTCTGTCAGTTATAGAATGCTTGTAGATGAAGTTTGAGATATGATTTACTGTTGAATAAGAATGTTCTAGTTTGTTAAATATACATGGATGATGCCCATCAGCTTGAATAATTTAGCCTAAACTTTTTGGATTGTAAAATGATTTGCTTATGTTGATTATTTGTCATAAGGAATAAGGCGAGTTGGAAGAAGACCTGATCAACAACTTCAGGGTGATGGGAAAATAATTGATAGGAGACCAGAAAGGCGACCACCTCGTGAAAGAAGATTTGAAAAGCCACTTGAAGAAAAAGGTGAAGGAGGTGAATTTTCAGTTGATAGGTAAGCATTAAATAAGGTTTTCTTGCTTTGTCACCTAATAGTTAGATTTTTTAAAATTATTTTTTAATATTTTATTTTTTAAGACTATTTTATATACCTGAGTACACTGTAGCTGTCTTCAGACACACCAGAAGAGGGCATCTGATCCCATTGAAAATGGTTGTGAAAGCCACCATGTGGTTGCTGGGAATTGAACTCAGGACCTTTGGAAGAACAGTCAGTCACCCCTAAGCCACTCTCCAGCCCCCTAGTTAGATCTTACTGTAAATGTGTAAGTTGGGCAGAGTAGTTGGAGTGATTACTTTGTGTATTTCAGAGAAATGTAAATGTGTATATTTACATTTTTGATAACATGTTTTAAGTTAGATCTCTTAATAGTAATATTTTAATTAAGCCAGTGTCCATTTTCTTTTCCTTTCTCTGCCCAGACACTGAGTTTAAAAGGACAGTGTTATTGGCTCTCCCTCATGTCACATGCAAGCTTCTTGTGATGATTGTAGTTTTTGTGTGTATAGGTAGGTGAATAGCATTATGACATGCAGTGAGTCAGTAAGTCAATGTGTTCTACCCCACAGTGCTTTAAAGAATAGCAAAACAGTTTCTAGTTCTCCCATATATGAGTAGAGATACACTTGGAATTTTCTACACCATATATTTAGTTGTTGGGTTTTGAGCTTGGAGTGGATTTTTCAGTTTCTGGAAACATTAGAGATAAATTTTTTTTAATTTGCTTTGTAGACCAATTATTGAACGGCCTATTCGTGGCCGAGGTGGTCTTGGAAGGGGTCGAGGAGGCCGTGGACGTGGAATGGGCCGAGGCGATGGATTTGATTCTCGTGGCAAGCGTGAATTTGATAGGCATAGTGGAAGTGATAGATCGTAAGTCTTATATTGATTGTTGTATATATGAGATTTAAATGTGCTTATTTAATAAAAACAAAATTTGAATTTCTAGAACTAAAGAGTATAATGTTAACTCAGTTTTGTTAGTTCTTTTTCACATTACAGTGGCCTGAAGCATGAGGACAAACGCGGAGGTAGCGGATCTCACAACTGGGGAACTGTCAAAGATGAATTAACGTTGGTATTCTGATTTTTTTTCAAGTTAAATAATTTCAATGAAACCAAAACTGTTAACTTACTAGTGGATTATCAATAACTTAAATTTTGTTCCTGAAGCAAGAATTGATGTTTTGTCTTAAAGCTATATATAACCTTACAGTGTCTTGTGAGATATGTTTATATTAAATGAACAAATTTTTATACTTAAGTGTATTAATAGTTTTATTTTGATAATGGATGTATATATAGTCCTGAAGCCCTGTGATGAGGATGCTGGGAAAGACTAATAGTTCTAACTGTAGCTATTGTAGTCTTGTCCTTACAAAATCTGATAAGCCCTCTTCCTCTCTTGGTTTTTGTTTTTGGATTTTTTTTTCCGAGATAGGTTTTTTTGTAGTTGAGACTAGCCTCGTACTTGCTGTGTAATTACAGCCCTCTACTGCTGTGTCTGACTTAGAAAGCCTTGTTTTAAAAGAGTGTGTTAGCTAATTTAATAATTTGTTTTCTCTTAGAGGTCTACTGGAGAGTAAAATTAGAAATAAAATTAGTAAATATATAAAAAAATGTAAAAATTTTTATTGTATGAAGGAATTTTGGCTACATGTAAATGGACCTAGATGCCTTTCTTCTTTCTTTCCTTAGAGAGTCACCCAAATACATTCAGAAACAAATATCTTATAATTGCAGTGATTTGGATCAATCAAATGTGACTGAGGAAACACCTGAAGGTGAAGAGCACCCAGTGGCAGACACTGAAAATAAGTAAGTAGTTTTGTGTGAGGAAGTAACACTCCAACATGGAAATCTGTCAGGTTTTTTTCCAGTAAGGTAACTGTAACTTAATGCAGTTATTTGATTGTACCAACATAAGAGGAGACTTTCTTGATTAGAGATATTGTCTTGTGTAGTTCAGGTTGGTCTGGAGTTCTAAGTACTGGGAATGTAGAAGTGTACTACCATATTGTTGGCTTGGTAATTGTACCGTTTTCATATACCTTAGAAAGGTGTATGTATTTTGAAAGAATATATGTATTTTAAGTAAAGCCTTTTAGAGCTAATGAAAAAAAAATGATCTGCTGCTACTCAAGGATGAAGGAAAAGGAACAAAGTACTTTGTATTTGAACTGACTTGATAGGATTTAGAGATAGCTATTATACTCTGAATAGGTAGGATTATTAAAAACTGAACCAAGTTTTGGTATAAGAGGTATTTGTAGTGTTTAGTCACAGTTCAAAGTAATCTCTACATTTTCAGTTATACAAGCTAAAACAAGACAACTTGAAACGACTTGGTAAATTACGTCCAACTCTTAAGTTTTTGTTTTGTTTTTGTTTTTTGAGACAGGATTTCTCTATGTAGCCCTGGCTGTCCTGGAACTCACTCTGTAGACCAGGCTGGCCTTAGAAATCCGCCTGCCTCTGCCTCCCAAGTGCTGGGATTAAAGGCGTGCACCAACACTGCCCGGCTATAAGTTTTTTTTATTCGTGAATTTTGAACAGCAAATTATTTGAAACCATGAAAAGCAATGATGAGAATGTTTTAGCTTATTAGCATTTTGTTAAATTTCATGTATATGAGTGTATGCCTGCATGTGTGCTAAGTGCACTGCATTCATGCAGTATCTGCAGAGGCCAGAAGAGGGTGTTGTATCCCCTGGACTATTCTAGTGCTGTAGTAAACAATGGGATATTGGGTGTATTTTTAGCACACTGATTTTATTTTCTTTGGGTATGTTGTAGAACTCAGTCTACTGGGTTAGGACATGAGCACTGTTGTCTTGAAATCAGAGTAACTGCTGCTAAACACTGGTTCTAGTGGAGCTTACCAGGTGGTCTAAGGACCCTCTGAATATGTGTAAGCCGTTAATGACTGCTAAAGGGTGGGCAGAAAGCTTTTTTTTTTTTGGTGTTATTTCTCCTAAGTTTCCTGTGTTACTGTAAATAAACCCTTACCCATACTCCTATAAATAACTAATGAAACTCATTGGTTCACCAGGGAGCTAGAATAATTTCCTTTTGTGTGCTTGACCTGGAATAAATACATGTTTTTCTTGCCTCCCCAGGAAAAGTTTAAAAAGTTCAGCATAATATATTTTAAATGATGAAATTGTCAGGCCTGGTTCTAGGTTTTTATTCATTTGACGGTCTTTGATTTCCATTGTGGTTGTATGGATGTACTGTTCTGATACGGTTTGAGGGTATTTTCTCTAAACCCTCACCAGCGTTTCTTTCTCTGTTAGTAGCCATTTCTGATTAGAATGAAATTGATTATTGTACTGTGGTTTTGATGTTTTGGTTTTTATAGACAGGGTCTCTTGTAGTTCTGACTTCCCTTTGAACTATGTAATGAAGGATTACTTTGCTAATGCATGATCCTTTCCCGAGTGCAGGGATTCTAGGTGTGCCTGGTCATGTCTAGTTTGCATTACCAGGACTCTTCGTCTGTCCTAGGTATACACTGCCATCTGAGTTACATCCCCAGCCCTATTGATTCCCCCCATCCCCCTACCCCCCCACCCCGACTGATAATTACTGATGTTGAACCTTTTTTCATATGCTTTGTGGCCATTTGTATTTCTTTTGGGAAAAAAAAAGCTTCTTCTATCATTGACAGCCCCCTCCCTCCCTTTTTTTCTATTTTGTTTTTTCTGGACAGGGTTTTTCTGTGTAGCAGCTCTGGCTGCTCTAGAGCTCACTTTGTAGACCAGACTGGCTGGCATTGAACACAAAGAGATAGGGTGCCCAGTTGCTGGCCCCATCATTTACTCATTTTCGCTTTTTTGTTGTTGAGCTATTTCAGTTTCTTAACATGTTGGTGAATAGGTTATGATGTATTTTCTTCTATCTGTGCACATTGCTTTTTAGTTTAACGAAATCCCATTGGTCAGATTTTGTTTTTGTTTCCTTGCTTTTTGGAGTCATTGGCTAGACCGATTCCCTGAGGTATTCTTGCCATTTGAACTTTGTTTTTATTTATTATTTATGCATGAATAGATGTTTTATGTGAATGTTTGTATATACAAGACACACGTGCAGTGCCCAGAGGATGTCATTAGATCTGGACCTGGAGTTTTAGATGATAGCAAGTATGTAGGTTCTGATGCTCAAATCTGGGTTCTCAGGAAGAGTGGCTCTTAACTGCTGAACCATTTCTCAGTCTTGTTTGGTTTTTGATAAGACGATTTTGTAATGCTGGCCTAGAACTCAATTTGTAGCCTAGGCTGGTTTCAGTTTACAAGACCTGCTTGCATTTGTCACTAGATCTGGGATTAAAGGCATGTGCCACCACTCCCATTTCAATCCATTCATTTACAATTTTTAACTGTTTAAGAATTGGTTTTCCTATAGAGCGTAGGAGAAAGCCTATGTATCCTAGTATTTATTGAAGAGATTGTCACTTTCCACTGTGTACTTGGGATATTATGTAAAAAGATCAATTGGTAAATACATGGATTCATTTTGTTGGAACTGTGTTGGGTCTGTGTCATTCCATATAGGACAGTGATTCACAGGCCACATTAGATCAATCAGAGAAAGGAGTATTCTTTCTAAGCTTCCTTTTTTTTTTTTTCTTCAAAGGAGTAGCTCTGGTAGCTGGGCATGATGACATAAGCCCATAATTATAGCACTTAGGAGGTAGATGCAAGATGATCAGGAATTCAAGGCCAGCCTGGGCTACAATATAGCAAGTTTGAGATCCTCAAAAGGAGAAAAAGGAATAGAAATATAAAGTGCTGTTTTGGTGAGCAACTCTTAATGAAGAGAGACGAATTGTATTTTGTGAGCTTGTTGGAATATCACTGGAATATACAGAAGTAAAAGGAAATAGTCTTTTACATTGAGAATTTTTACTATGTTAGTTGGTGGTGGCACATAGCTTCAATCCTTGGGAGGAAGAGGCAGGTGAATCTCTTGAGTTTGAGGTGAGCCTGGTCTACAGAGAGAGTTCAGGACAGCCAAGCCAGTGCTACACAGTGAAACCCTATCTTGAAAAACAAAACAACAAAAGAATTTAATATGAAATGTGTTACTTTGGAGGGGTAAGCATAATGGGGATTAATCGTACACCCAATACTCAGCACATCCTTTTTCTTTATTAAACAAATTTGAGTCACTTTCAGAGTGATTCTCAAAGACATTAGAAAGGATTTCTCTAGTCAGGACCCAGGAGCAGTTGGGGTAATTATTTCTAATGAAGATGATGGTCGCCATGTTAGAGCAGTCTACTCTTAGTAGAGGGAAACCCAATGTAAGGATATTTGAAGGATAAGTTTAAGAAGCAAAACTTCCAGTAGTTGTTAAAGGTAGGTATTACTGTCAGAATATTTTGAAAATGATTTGATAGACTTTATTCAACATCCTGTCAAGATTGAATGCAAATTGACTCCAGGAAGTTATAAGATAATCTCTCCAAATACAAAGAACTATATAAAGACATTTTAGCAATGATGCTAAACTAAATCACTTGCTATCTTTGGAAGGAAGCAGAGCTCCCAAAAATAGCAAATGATTTGTTTGGTGACATTTGGAATTAGACTAAGATATTGGATCCCTAGGCTTGTGCTTTATATAAAAAGGGGAACAGATAATTAAAATAGTTGAAACCTAGGAATTACATTGGGAAATAACTATTTTGGTATAAATACTGAAACCAGTTTGTTTTGTGGACAGTCCCATTACTAGTGAAATCTCGGTGTCCTGTCCATATGTGTTAGAGGTTGATTGGTCTGAGTTGAGAATTAAGCAGAATTTCAGATTTGTAGAAATTAGGTTTTTATACTTTGAGTGCAAAAGTAGGAGATTAGATATAATGGTCTCCTTTATGAGTAAAAATGATGGGGTGGGGTTGGTTCAGTCAGTAAAGCACCTGCTGCTCGAGTTTCAAGCATGAGTGTGCATCTGACCAACCTTACCACTTTTAGTGAAGATGGGAAGATTTTTCTAGAGCTCAAGGAAAACCCCAACATTGACTTTCGGCATGCCTCTATGTGGACAAGCACATATGAACACTTGTATGCACCGCATACACTGTTTTAAGAAAAAGTAGACCATGAAATTATTTTTACAAGATGGTAGAGTTTAAAATAAAGTTTCAAAGAAATGTTAATAAGGCCAGTTCAGGGTAAATACTCATTTAAGAAGGCAAGTTAATTTGTAAACACAAATGGGCAAATAGACTGGTGCTCTCTACTACCATCCTGCATGTTGGACACAGTCACAGGGTTCTAGAGAAAGCTGTGATTCTACTTTTGATGGTCTTTTCTAGCAGACTACTAACAATTAGTTCTTACTGTAATTTGAAATACACATTCTTAAAATTTTGATTTATGTATTTGAATGTTTTGCCTGTATCTGTGTATGTGTACCATTTGCTTGTCTGTTGCCTGTGGAATTCAGAAGAGGGCTTTCTATCGCCTGGAGTTACAGGGAGTAGTGAGCTATTGTGAGTGTGTCAAGTCAGTGAGTGCTCTTAACCCCACCAAGTATTTTTCTACAAATTAGTATCTGCCACAAGTCATAAAATTCAAATGTCTTTTTCACAGGGAGAACGAAGTTGAAGAGGTTAAGGAAGAGGGTCCAAAAGAGATGACTTTGGATGAGTGGAAAGCTATTCAAAATAAAGACCGAGCAAAAGTAGAATTTAATATCCGAAAACCAAATGAAGGTGCTGATGGACAATGGAAAAAGGGTTTTGTTCTGCATAAATCAAAAAGTGAAGAGGTAAAGTTAAAATTGTTTAAATTTGTTCAGATGTGACTTGAATTATTTTTAATTTTCATATGGATAACTTGTTTTTTGAGCTAGGAATTTCTTCTGTGTAGCTCTGGCTGTTTTGGAACTTGCTTTGTAGACCAATGTGGCCTTGAACTTCAGATTTACCTGCTTCTGCCTCCAAGAGCTAGGATTTAAAAGCATGTGCCTCTACTGCCTGGCTAATGGATAACTTTTAAGTTTTTTTTTTAAGATTTATTTTATTAAAAAAAAAAAAGAACAAAGCCGGGCGGTGGTGGCACATGCCTTTAATCCCAGCACTTGGGAGTCAGAAGCAGGTGGATTTCTGAGTTTGAGGCCAGCGTGGTCTGCAGAGTTAGTTCCAGGACAGCCAGGGCTACATAGAGAAACCCTGTCTTGCAAAAAAACAAAAACAACAACAAAAAGATTTATTTTATTTACACAAGTACACTGTAGCTATCTTTAGACACACCAGAAGAGGGCATCAGATCCTGTTATAGATGGTTGTGAGCTACCATGTTGTTGGGAATTGAACTCAGGACTTCTGTAAGAGCAGTCAGTGCTCTTAAATTCTGAGCCATTTCTCCATCCCTTAACCTTTGTTTTAGTCTTAATTTGATATAGAAACTTGTTCAGAAAGAAAATATTCAGGACTTGGAAAATGTTTATTTTTCTTCATTTAAGAAACATGGGAACTAATGTAAACTTTTGGGAAAGTCATATTGATAGCTAAGGCTTATGTAAATATGAATCTGGCTAGATATTTTTTATAAAATATTTTTCTCTAGCAGCATTTGCTGGCCTTTTTGATACATGAATTTATTCATTTCATAAGTTGGGCTGTGTCAGAAATTCAAACTGTAATGCAAAGGTAAAATTAAACGTTAAATTATAAGATTTAATGAGATTTTGTTTATCCACTTATTTTTGATTTTGAGGATTGACCACAGGGCTTCAAATATGTTAAAGCATATTTTCTGCTGTTGAATCATAACCTTTAGCACTCAATTTCTAAATACATTTTAGTTGTTAGGCATACTGATGGCAGAGGCCAATGTGAGAAACATTGTTAAATAGAATTGAAGTTAAATAGGGTTGGTAAGTACATCTTGTTTCATTAGAATGAACTTTTCTTATCCTAGTTCTTGCAGATAAAATTGTTAGTATTGTATGAGTAGAATGATATAGACGGAAATCCTGATTGAACTATAAAAATTATTGTAGAAATTGCCATTTAAAATAACATGTTAGTATGAAAAGCTAGTTGTGATATTAGGTAATTCATCAATGTATTAAGATGTGTGCTCCAATTTAAAATATTTTACTCTGAACTTGGCAGAAAACTACAGCAGGCCTATTTATGTGTGATTTTTGCCTTCTGCTAAGATCTAAAATAAAATACTAAGTAGAAAATTGCAGAACTCTTATATTGCATGTCATTCTGAATAGTGTGGTAAAGGCTTAGCATTTGTTTTTCTATACTGTCTAACTGAGGGTGTGAATCATTGATTTACAACTATACATGCATTGTGTGTAGATGCCCATTAGTAACCTAATATAGCTCATATATAGGAATAACGTGTAGTTTAGGGTTTGGTACTGTCTGGTTTCAGGCATTCCCTGAATTTTAATATCTTCTGCAAATAATAAGGACTGCTGTATTATATAAAGTAAGAAAACTTGATTTTTGAAGATTCTAAAATACACAGTTGGTTTTAAAACATTGAAGCTGTCATCCTTATTTATCAAGTCACTTGTATTAATACATGTATTTTATTTTCGTAATGTGAATACTTGTTTAAATATGGGCTTACTGGTTTGCTTAACATTGATACTACCTATATAACATATAATCAGGTGGTTCTAAGAAGCAAGAAGTGAGCTTTGTGGAATGATAAGCTTAATTATTGTATTGACAGAGAATTGACATCTTAGGTGCTCTGGAGAGATAGGAGTAGGTTTATTTGTTTAGTATAATCACATTCTAGAACACAACCTAAGAGTTAAGGAATGTGCTTTGAGTATCAAAACTCCTTTGTGGTAAACCTATCCAGGTTCAAATGTATTCACTTGAGCTTGTGTTGCTTCTGTGCTCTAGAAAGTTAATAAATGACACCAGTGATTTGAAATAACAAACACTTAAACCCACAAGCTAGAGAAATGATTTTTATTTATTTGGTGCTGTTGTAGATCATATGCCTGACTTAGATTTCCTTAAAATTTGTATTTGTTGATCTAGTGCCATTAAATCATGTCATAACTAAAGGGATGGAATTTGAGTATCAGCATACAGAAACTAGTGTGTAAAGAAAATGTTCATTTGTGTTTGAAAGTAATAGCTGTGATATGTTAGGTAGCTAGAAAGGATAGTGTATGCCTTGGCTTTCAAAATAGATTTTATGTGTATTAAGTCAACTTTGATTAGTGTTAAGGGAAATTTTCAGCCAAGGGTTAAAACTAATTTCATCTAGAATATATAAAAGACAGGCATTAGGAGGTAAGTTCTTTTATTGTTTTTTCTTTTTTGCTAATTTGTGGGTTCTTTTTCTTCCACTTTTTCAACCCCCTAATACTATTGGGAGAGCAAAGGGGAGAGGAAAGAGAATCCTGAATATATTGAGGGATTGGAAAGGGGGATTATGTTATTAGATTGCTTCCTTCTAATTGAGGGCATTGAGTTCCTTGGGATAAGTTTCATCTTTGCAATCAGGTTATTTAAGTTCTTGTTTTTTTTCTTTGGATATAAACTCCAACCAACCCACCCACCTCGCCTCTTGGGGTCCTAGCATTTCTATATCCTCTGAAAAGTACCCAGAATTTCAAATACCATGCAGTCGCATAAACTGTTTGTAGCAGCTGCTGTGTTCAATCTGAAGCAGTCACATTTGGAATCAAAATATCACATTCTCATAATCTTTGCTGTGTTTTTCAAAACAGTCAAAACTCAAAATTGTCACATTTTATTTATTCCTTCTATGCTGAGACATGTAGCTTATGTATAAAGATTTAGTTTTGTAACATCTTATTAGTAAAATCTTTTTAGTGGATTAATTTATAGTTCCAAGAGTCTCTAATGTAAAGTTCGTATTGTTTGACTTGAAGTTAGGGTAATTTAGGTAGGTCGAGGAACAGTGAAGGATGAGTAATCCTTGTCTTAAAATGCTTGAAACCAAACATGTTTCATATTGTGGAATATTTGTACAGAGCACCCTTGATTTCGAAATCATGTTGCACAAAAATTTTAGTATTTGAGGTAGGTTCAACCTATGTAATTGCTTGCTCAACTTATGTAATTGTGTATATAAACTACAAAACTTGTGTTGTGTACATTCAGCCTAGGGAAGGAGGTCTTAATTTTGAAAGAATATAGATTAAAAAAAAACAACTCAGATTTATCACAAGTAGAAAATACATGCCATATCATATTGGAATACAAATTTGAAGAAACTGTGTTAAATGTTAAAAATACTCAGTGCTGAAGATTCAGGACTAGAGTGGGAACTTGTCACTTGCATTATATGCCAGTAATCAGGGACTGGTATTACCTGCAATTCAGAGAAATTTGTTAAATCGCATTCTTCAAAGTCACTAGCTGAGCCCCAAATGAGCTTACTACTTTTTGAGCTAGATAGTGGATATATTCATGCAGACAAAGTACAGGATTGAGGATTTGCCTTTTGGGGGAGAAAGTAGGTTTAAGAATTTTGCACGATTCCTTTTATATTAATTACCAAGGGGTCTTTTCTTAATACTTTAGGCTCATGCTGAAGATTCAGTTATGGATCATCATTTCCGAAAGCCAGCAAATGATATAACGTCTCAACTGGAGATCAATTTTGGAGACCTAGGCCGCCCAGGACGTGGTGGCAGAGGAGGACGTGGTGGACGTGGGCGTGGTGGTCGTCCAAACCGTGGCAGCAGAACTGATAAGGTAATTTTAAGATGCTTTTTCTGTTTTAACCAATTTAAGACTTGTAAGAGATTACTGGCTAGATACTTTGCAGAGAGGGGCATAAGCGGAACTAAGGAAAGAATTAACTTAATAAGAAACACCATTTGAGACAGAGTTTCACTTTGGAGCTCTAGCTGGCCTGGAACACACTATGCAGACCAGCTGTCTTTGAACTCAGATCTGCCTGCCTCTGCCTTTGGAGACATGGGATTAAAGCCATGGGTCTTAGGTTTTGCTTTCTTTTTAAAGCACCTTAATGATTAGAGTAGTGCTGCCAATAAGTTGAATTAACTATTCCATTGAAGTCTTACTCACTACCTGTTAGGGTGCTGTGTTAACAATTTTTGCATGCTGGTATTTATTTTTTACTCGTGGGATATCCTCACTGCTGAGTAAATCCAGGTATAAGACAATTTTAGGATTGCAAAAGTTCCTCTGAGAGACTAGTCTATGCCATAATTTAAGAATGGGATTCATGCCAGGTGATAGTGCCACATGCTCTTAATCCCAGCACTTGGTAGGTGGATCTCTAAAAGTTCAAGACCAGCCTGGTCTACAAAATAAGTTCTAGACAGCCAGGGCTACACAGAGAAAATCTGTCTTGAAAAACAACAATGTGGAATTCAATGTTATTTTTGTCCATGGGTGTTCTATCAGGCTGTCTCCAAACCTGGAGTCAGACTGCACCCTCCCAAAGCTTGTGACTAGCCCTTTGCTACCATGCCCCACTCTAAAACAAATGCTTAATGAGAATTTTGAGAGATGTCCAAGGAGTTGATTTTGAATTCAGAATTGCCTGTTGACAGTATTACGGATAACCTTAGTGTCCAGTTTAAAATAAACCATAGAATCCTGTAATCTTATTTTGAGGACTTTTGTTTCTAAAACTGTCTCTCATTTTACAACCAGTCTGTCCTGGAATTAACTCTGTAGACCAGGCTGCCTCCCAAGTTCTGGGTTTTAAAGACTTGGACCACCACACCTGTCTTAGTAATTGTTTGTTTGTTTTGTTTTTGGCTTTTTTTAAAGTAGCCTTACCTCAGTGCCTTTTCAACTTCCTAATGCTGCACCCCTTTTCCTTAGGTTTTGAGCCCCCAGTCATAAGATTGTTTTTCTTGTTGATTCAGAACTATTTTTGTTAATGTTGTGAATTGTAATGTGGCTCTATGATATGCATAGCCCCTGTGAAAAGGTCTTTACAGTCACACACAATCACAAAGGGGTTATTACTCACAGGCTCAGACCGACCACCCTACCTGCTTTGGAGGCTGCATGTGGTGGGGTGGTAGCAATGCAGTAGGTTTTATCATCAGTGATTTTTTTTTTTCCTGACATTTTAAAGAGGAAGGTTTTACATACATGAGGATTTTCAATAACTTGGTTTGTTTTCCAGGCTGTAAGTAATTGATTATTTCTAACATTGACTGTGCCATTTAAATGATTGCTCACTGATTACTATTATGTTGGAAAGTGGAAAGTACAAAGTTAGTAACAAAATGAGAACCCAGGTGTAGTATTGAAATTTGCTTATATGAAATCATAAGTATGCTCAGTGTGGTAGCACATAACTATAATCCCAGTACTTGGAGATTCAGATCATGAGTTTGAGGGTAGCCTGGCAAAAATCTTGTCTGAAGTGGGTGGGAAGGAAGTGTCACTCTGGTATAACACTTAACCTATAATGTACAAACCCTGCATATGATCCCTAGCACATCAAATAAATTACAGCATTTCATTGCAGAAAGAAACTCACTACAAATATATGTAGTTTTATTCTGGTTTATAATTTTGTTTTTAAAGTAGAAGCTTTGATCTATAGTGTCTTAAGATGAACTTTTTAGAATTCAGTGTCTTAAGTACAGACATTAGCAGGCTAATTTCAGGGTTTGAGAGTTGTGGCTAATAATGTTTTTCTTTTTTTCCCTCCCCAGTCAAGTGCTTCTGCTCCTGATGTAGATGACCCAGAGGCATTTCCAGCTCTGGCCTAACTGGATGCCATAATACAACACTGGTTCCTTTGTGGACCCTCCTGTTCAAAGCTTTTGCATGCTTAAGGATCCCAAACAACTAAGAATTAAAAAAAAAAAAAAGACTGTCATTCATACCATTCACACCTAAAGACTGAATTTTATCTGTTTTGAAAACGAACTTCTCTAGCTACACAGAAGTATCAAATATGTTAGTCAGTTTTGTATTTAGAAATGTATTGGTAGCAGGGATGTTTTCATAATTTTCAGAGATTATGCATTCTTCATGAATACTTTTGTATTGCTGCTTGCAAATATGCATTTCCAAACTTGAAATATAGGTGTGAACAGTGTGTACCAGTTTAAAGCTTTCACTTCATTTGTGTTTTTTAATTAAGGACTTAGATGTTCCTACAATTACAAGCTGGTTTTAAATATTGGCCATCAAATACTGGTTTTAATACCTGCTTTGCATTTTCACACGTGGTCAGCTGGGACATGTAAACTTCTGACTTATAAGATTTTATGCTGTGTGGAATACTAACCACTATATATTTTAACTATATATTTTAATTTGGGAGTTGAAAAATTTCTTTTCACATCTTATGATAGCTGATGTATACTAAATCTTTATACAGAAATGTCAGTACTTGAACAAATTCAAAACATATTGGTTTATTAACGTTTGGCTCATGCATGGTTTATTAGGTTCAAATTATATATACCTGATTCACCTATATTTACTTTTAAAATGTACGGCTTCCTCATTTTAAAAGTAAAACTAAACACTGCTTTTGGAACTTTGTAAGCTACTTATTGTTGATAGATACAGCCTGTGTTCAGTGAAATAGTTTTGTGGGTGTGGGTTTTACCTTTCCTTAAACAAGGTGGGCAGAGTAAGTTAATGCCTAATAGTTAACTTGTATAAAGTAATAAGCTAGCCATTTGGTATTTGTGTATGAAAGACCCTGAAATCAAAATGTTTATCCATAATCAACAATCTTTATTTGATTTTATAAAAACCAAAGGGCACTCATTGGTAAGTGTGCTGAGATGGAAAAGTATCTTAACTTTTAGTATTTCAAAGCCAGCTTTAATTTGGAACAGCAACACCATAAAATTCAAAACAAGTTATCTTGTTTATGAACTTCCTATATGTTATGATACAGTCTTGAGTTGATAGTGTTACATATCAGTTTCCATTTCCTCCATTAGATAATTAGGTAATTGATGGATTCTTTGAACAGAAGCATCATTGCTTATTAAAAAGGTAGATATGTAGAATGGTTAAAAAAAATCCAGGTTTTCTAGGGTATTTTTATTCACATTTATTGATTAAATAGGGAAGGAATTTTATTCAAAGCTTTAAAGACTAGTTAGTTGTCATTTTTTTTAAAAAACCTGTTGTAATTATAAAAATACTGGAGCTCTTTTGCTAGCTAGATGATTGGTTTCATGTATACATCTAAAAGTTACTATATAATACATTTATTCATTGCATTTATTAATCTTGTTGCCAGCAAGTCTGACAGCTTGGAAAGAATTTTTTTTTTTTTAATAGACTTGAGCTGGTGACTTACGCTGCACTTGTTCTGTACTAGTGCTGCTTGAAGTTTCACATGTTCAGACCCCTGCTTTTCAGAGGCAAGTAGACTTGTTGGCGCCTTTGAGGTTGGAGCATATGCTCCCTTAAGTCAGTATGCTTAAACTTTAAAGTATCTTAATTCTTGTTTTAATAGTAACATCTTTACAGATTTTCAGCTACATGTTGTAGAAAACACCTGCTCTTAGAAGCACAAGTTTTACTCATTGAGTCACTGTAACCAGAAAACATAGAAGCATTTATTTTATTGCAGACTTTCAGAGTAGGCTGAATATCAACAAGTTGGTTAATTCTGTCTGATACCTGTGAATTTCCTTTCAGGATCACTTTATGTCGAGTTAAATGTAAACTTTGTTGAAAATAACAATTTATTTTCATGCTCATTTCCTAAAAGATAAAAGCAATCAAGTGGGAACCCCTTTATATGTTTCTTGGTTTCCCTTTTTCATTATCCTAAGATAATGCTACTTTTAAGATTTTTGAATGTTTAGATATCATGAGAGGTTTTTATTTGATAAACCTGCTGAGTCCCGTATTTGCTTGGAATACCTATCTTAATGACGAAGTTCCTGAAGTTAGTACAGTGATTTCAAGAGCGGATATAATGGCTTGAATGCTATTAAAGGTAAATGGTATCAGTTGAAAGTTTTGGGACATTTCCAGCTTGGATTAAAGGGAGGGTATAGTTATTAGTTGAATACTATTTGGGGTTGCTGAGAGATCTTAAATGTAACAGCAGGTTTTATAGTTCATTTTATTCAGTTCACAATACGTCATTTGCAGAGTTGTGAATGTATTTGGTATGGGTTTGGAGAGAGATTGTGCATTGCTTCTGATTGTTATTTTTATAATTACTAGAGATGACTGAAATAGAAAGAAATGTAATAACTGAGCTTGGAAGTGAAGTGTAAGTATTTTGTGTTGAAATTTTTAAAAATGTCTTAAGAGCATTAGCAGGTGGAAGAAACCAGGTATTAAAAATTAAAAATGAGGCTGCATGAACCTTACTAATGTTGACTTTAAAGGTAAGACATTGTAGGCATATCTGTGGACAAGCTGCCAGACATTGAGCTACCTGTGATACATGCAGTTTTGCTTCCCCCACCCTACTACCTTGGTTCTAGGTATCCATCCAGGGCCTTGCTCATGCTGGCCAAATTGCTTAGCTATAACCACAGTAAATGGAAAATATATTCTACCCCTAACCTTTGTAATTGTAGAGAAATTATTATGTAAATATTAAATGAAAGTCATATCCCATGTTGACTAAAAACCAGAAACCAGACTGCTAGTATGGTTTGATGAGTATGTCTACTAGTAACAGAGTAAAGTATTACCTTACTAAACAGCCTTAGTAATTTATCTGCAGTGGCAAAACCAGTTGTCAGGTGATTTGTGGGGCTTTGTTTGTTTTTGTTTTTTTTTCCCCCTTAGGTTGATTTGAAGTGCTAGGGATTTGTGTGTCCTGGACACATGTTCTGTCATCAAACTTCAACTTGAATTGTTCGGTTTTCTTGGGATAAGTGGCTGCTGAAGTGTAAGGTTTTGCTAGCTATGTCCTGATTGTTTCCAGGCCTGAATGTAAGAACTCCTTTAAAATAAAGATTTATTTACCGCTATATGCATTAAATCATGCTACTCTTAAAGCAGTCCTTGTCACTTTAAAGTGGGGTTAAGGTGTCTTATCAGGTAGCCACTTGTCCATAGTCAAAAAGTAAGAGATAGTATCTAGTTTTATTTTCTAAGATTTTAGTGTGTTTTTCTGTCTGTCTTTATCTTTGAGCTTGTGACAATTAGATTATCCTATTAAATTCAGAAGAGGACAGTAATTAGAACTGGAATTAAAATTACAGCACGATTTTGCTAATTTTAAACAAGATATTGTAGCTTAAATTAGTTTGCACACATTACTTGGCTTGTAGTTGTCATTTTAAAATTGAGTGATGTCTAATTGTGAAGAAGTATATTTTCATATACATAAAGTGGTCCAGGTTAATTTGACTGGACTGTTAGGGATTAAGTATGCTTCTAGCCAGTGAGTACTAAGGGGGAGGCAGTTTTGTTGTTTTGTGTTGAAGAAATGGAACTTTTAGTCATGAGTTCCATAAATAAGTTCAAGATAATGTTTTCTTTCCTATTGCATACATGAACAAACATGGGTCTCCATGACTTGTGAAGTTAAATGTATCTTTAGAGATAGTCAATTGAATGAGATTTTGAATTTTTGTTTTTGTTTTGTTTGTTTGTTTTGCTTTTTTTTGTTTTTATAAGAGTCAGTATATTGGTCAGTATTGCAAGCTCGCCTGAAATTGGATGTCTCCAGCTTGGTTTTTCTGAGAGGGTTATAGATGGGCAATTACCATTTCTGGCAGCTTCTTTTCCCCCATATTTTTCCTGAATTCCAAGATTTCTGGGAGTCTCAACATGATTTTATATACCTTTTAAGTGTATTCCTTATGTATTCATGAAGGGTTTACCTAGATGCTAATATCTAACATAAAGTTAGACAGCTTTGTTGTTTCAAGACCTGGGCAGTTCGTTGACCTTTTGTTAACATGGGGGTGGAATGGTGAATCCATATTCTCAGAAGTTACATAGTATGTGCCTCAGTACTATGCCTTCAACAGAAAGTCACTATATAATATACTTGGTCACTATATTAAAAATAAATCTGGATTAAATTTTTTATTAGTGATAAGTCTAGAGTATCTCAAAGAATCTAGATTTTTTTTTATTAATAGTGATTGATCTAGCTTCCATACATCTCATTTTAAAAATCAAGAGATGGAGGTAGTTTTCACTGAAGTAGAGGAAACGGCTAGTAAACTTGAGCATCTTAATCAGCTCTTTCTAGTTAAAGGAAATTGTAGATACTTTCTGTTTTCAGGTTTATCAGTCTCTTAGGGTTTATTTGCTTTTGAAGTAGTCATTTCTCTAAGAATGGCAGAAGATACAAACATGGCAATTTTCTGGTCATTTATAAAGACTGAAAAGAATATAATCAAATTGAGTTGTACAAGGTGAGGGAAACCAGTGTTTACAGTTTTAGAGTAAAGCCAAATAGTGGTCTTGTGATGAAATAAAAGTTAAAATTTTTGTTTCTAAATGAAATCTTGGAGAGTCCCACATTAGTCAAAGGGATGATTAATGAACAGGGGCTTTGTTCCCTATATTTAGTTTTGGAGGTAGTTATTAATTTAAAAATAGGCTAGCCTCTAGCTCATGTGTGCTTGGATTAAAAGTAGGAGCCACTGCACTAGACTTTTTATAGTGTTTTTAAACTAATGAAAATATTCTTAAGTTTCAGGGTTTTTGAAAAGTTAATGAGAATCACTCTGTACAATGGTCTTTACCCTTTTTCTGAAAATGTACCCAGTATGATGTGTACAGTATAATGAAGACAGAAAAATAGTTTTTACTGACTATTTCAATAATCTTATTTTGCCTTAAGTAATTTATGCTACTCTTCAAAGTACATTAAGTTGGGTAGAATTATGAGGTGGAAATTTATTCTCAGTTTAAAGGGCATGTGCTAGGCTTGATGGTACTTGAAGCTGGATTTAAGGATATAAGCTGGAGTCTTGTTAAATAGCATGGCCCTATCTTAAAACCAGATCTCCACACCTTGTAAGATTTGTCAGTGTAATGGTTAGGTTTTTTGTGAATTTAGCACATTTGTCTGGGAGGGGAGCATAATTGAAGAATTGCTTACATTAGATTGGTTTGTAGTCGTGTCTGGTGGTATTTTTTTGGTTAATGATTGATGTGAGAAGGGCCCAACTTAAAGGGGGGAGATGCCACCCCTGTATCTCTGGGTAGCATTTTTATTTTCTTCTAAAAAGGAAGGTGAACAGACCAGAGGACAGTGTTCATGGTCTTTTCCTTCAATTCCTACCTTTGAGTTATTTTTCCTGTCTTCAGTGATTAGAATGTATAAATATTTTGCTCTCAAGTTTGCATTTGGTCAGGGTTTTATCACAGCCAGAGAAAGCAAATGACTGCACAGGTGTGGAATATTTCCTGTTGCTTTGGGGAAAGTGGAAGTCCTCAAAGCTTAATGGGTTGGCTGTGTTTGTGGGAGACAAGAGAACAAGCCAGTAAGCAGTGTTCCTCTATGGTCTCTGCTTCAGTTCCTGCCCTGGCTTCCTTTGGTGATGGTCTGTGATTGAGTATGTAAGCCAAATAAATCCTTTGTGTCCCACATTGGTTTTGGTCATGATGTTTTATCATACCAATAAAAAGCAAACATGGGGAGGTTGGTACCAGTATATCTTTAACTTGCTTAGACAGGTCCAAACATGGTCCACTCACTTTAGTGCAGTAGGCAGAGGCATTGGATTGCATAACCTGACCCCTAGATTTAACAATAAGTTTGAGCGAGTGTAAAACTTGTTTATATTTTATTTATGTGTATGGTGTTTTGGATGTAAGTATATGCACTGCTTGTATGCCATAACTGTGGAGGCCAGAATTGGGTATCCGGTGTGAAACTGGAGTTAATCAACACACCATGTTGTGTTGGGAGTAGAGACTGTTACAAGAGCAATTGCTCTAAACCACTCAGATATTAAAATGTGAAAGGCTAAGTCTGTAGTGCTAGAGTGTACAAGGCCATGGGTTTTATCCTCATTGTCACTAAAGAGAGTCACAGAGACCAGTGGCACAGTACAGTTTTAGGTTTTTGCTTTAGAAGTAAAAATAATGCAGTCAGATGCCTTGAACTCTGTAGTATTTTCATTGTACAGATAGTATTTGTCTTCTCCATTCTTACTGTTGGGGAAATTACTTAGGATAGTAAGCTGTTCTTGTCTGTGTTGATGAGAATTGAATTGGTAGTTAGAATTTTATTGAATATTGTCCAGCGGTCCTTCTCTAATACTGGTTACCATGCTCTGTAATCTTTGCTAGCTGGTGAAAATATTTAAAAAGTATTTGGTTTTTATTACTTTTCTAATTATAGTTGATTACATTTAATGGATATTTTGTACTTTGTGTCACTGAAGTACAGACTTAGTTAACCTGTTTTCTGTGTTTTATAGTTTATTAGTTTATTTTGGTATAAGCTATATATTTCAACTTGATTCTTTCCATTACTCAAATTGGAAATGCCACCATGTCCTCTGCTTCTGGGGAATCCAACCCACGTTCTTGTATGTGGTAGGCTATGTGCTTGTATGTGCTGTATCACTAAGCAGTTTTAGTATAAATTGCTTTTCTTTTGTAGGAAAGGTTTTTTTTAAACCCTTAAATGAAGATATTTTGTAGTAAAAGTTTTACCTTCTCAAGTAAAGCATTTCATAAGCAGCACAAAGTAAACATGTGTCCTATAGGCTAGATGGAAAAATAAACCTTTGAAGGGCTTCATCTTTTATATCAGAATAGTGGACAACTTTCAGTTGACTCAGAAAAACAGATCCCAGTGAGAAAGGAAAGGAATGGAACACGGGCATTTCTTTTCCTCTTTGCTCCAGGACATAGGTGAGTTGTGGTTGTAGCTAAAAAGTGGTGTTGACTTTAAGAGAATTCTGAGGGGAGAATGTGTGAGAGATGAAGTTTAAACACTCCAATTGCTTGCAGATAGAACTAAAGAACCTGGCTTCTGGAAAAGGGACATTTTCAGGGCAATTTGAATATCCACCTTAACTTGAGGTCTGGACAAAGCTCAGTGAAATGTTTGCCTAACAGTGCTCTGTATTCTACCTTCATACAAGTAAAAAGTTGGAGATACCCATGAGTTCCTTTGATGTGGTATATACTGGTGTTTAGGTTTCAGAGAATTGTGGAACTTTATTAATTAAAAGGTAGATGCTAAGTTATTTGTGGAGTGTATTTTAGAATTGAAAAATACCAAGGAATGAAAGACTTGAAGCTTGGAGTTTTATCTGGGGATCAAGGGAAGACGTTTTGCAAGAAATCACAGAAATTACTTGGAATGGTCAGGAAAGGTTACAGGAAACGTTATACAGCCCTCTGACATTCATTGAGAGATCAGGCAAAGTGATACATTCTTAATGTACATTAAAAGTATAACCTCCCCCCCCCCACCTGCGTGTGAAATTTTCAGTAGTTCTTATGAAAGCTTGTGCTAGAGTAGAGGGTGGGAAACAAGCCAGCTGAACAGTGATGACAGGTGACACAAATAGGCACTATACTGGGAAGCCCTTGCCAAGTTGGTTGTAGTCTAATACTAAGGGACAAGAGAATCTTATGAAGGAAAGTATGGAAGAGGCTTTCAGCCTTAACATGGGTCTTTTAATGAGTTGAGAAACCTTAAGAGGAATTAAATATCACCTAGGGCTTTGAGGGAAGAGAAAATATAGCAAGAAAACAGCAGGAGTTCACTACATTGCTAGTGAATTGCCCTGAGAACAGGTAGCCTTATCATGGCAGTGGACTAAGGATGTTTATATGCAAACTGATCTTCAATTTCTAGAGGTGCATAGGAAGTTTGGTAAACAAAAAATAAGAGCAGTCTGCAGGACTAGGTTGGGTTACATGGTCAGATTGCTAATTTGTTAGGTTAGAAAAGGAAATACAGATTTGCAATAGATACTTTGTTAAATGAAAATACCAGACACAGAAAAGTAGTGTTACTGGCGAGGATGGGGTGGAGATAGGGTTCATACTTAAGAAAAAACTGTCTTGGACCTTTCAAGTGATGCTGGGCTCTGCCATTGCTATGATAGGAGAGCATGCTGGGTCAGGCCATAGTTATGAATAAACAGCTAAGTCTGTTTTAGACCAGAGATAACCGGTGTTGAAGGCAGTGCATGCTATAACAGAAGTTACATGGAGTAAAAGCACAGAGGCAATTCTTCATTAAGCGGATGGTGATTGACAGATGTTAAAGGTGAAACACATGGTGTGTGTGTGACAAATGAGCATGACTATCTTGGGGGGGTCCTTCTATATTGTTCATCAGTGTTGCTGTCTTACCTCCTTATCCCTTAAGTCCCTATGGTGAAGCTAACTTAATCCAGAGACAGCTGGCTTGTCTGTACTGTCCTAGGGCTATAGACAGGCTTGATACTACTGAAGATGGTGACCACTGGACCTGGGCAAATAGATATATTGTGCTGCCTTTGTAAATCTACTATGGGGCACATTGACTTTCTAGGTATCAAGCCTCATTACTCAGGAGGGAGTCATAGCCCATCTTTAACCGATCTAGAGTCAGCCTCTCACCACAGAAGGTGAGTGGGCGGAGAGAACTTGATGCAAAAATGGAAAGAGAAATATGTTGATGCTCCAGCTCTAAAGAATCAGTTGAATCAGCCTCATGTGGGGAGAGGTCTTCTATGTTGGATGGTAAATAGCCTTCATGGCTAGGAAGGTAGTTCACTGGGGTGACTGTCAAGGGGCTGGTCAGGCTGCCCAGTTTTGAGTCAGGGTCCCTGCTTCCTAGCACCTTGTATAGATTCACTAGTTGTCTCGTCTCAGCTCTGAGAGTTCCTGCAGCTTGTGGATTGGTGGCAATATATATTTTGTCTTCCTTGGACGTAGAGTAACCTTGGAACCCTTGTCCTCTTTTGAAGCAATAAGGTTGCCTGACTGGGATCATTTGGTAGAGGACTTCGTTGATGATCAGGGGCTCAGGCTCTTGAGGAGTGGGCCAGGCCATCAGTAGATCGTCCGTAGGTGGCTGGATCTGCTCCTGTGAGAAGAGTGGATGTTGAGGTTACTTTTAACAACCTGCTGCTTCTCCAGGTTTTTAAAACCTCATACCCTGCCCTGCTTCAGCCGCAGGTGAGAAACTAGGCCTTTAAATTTTGGAGAGGCCAGAGTCAGATTTCAATCCCATTTCCAACCCCTGTTCCCATCACTGCCTTTCTCCAGCCAAGGACAGATTCACCGCTCAGTTTAACCTTCAGTCTACTTGCTTTTTTTTCTAGTATCGAAGGCATGGAGGTGGAACGAAAAAGCTTAGGGCAGTCTGGAGCGGGATGGAGTTTTCACCAGGTTGGGGGTGGTAGAGGGAAATTGGTGTATTAAGCCTCCTGGTTTGTTGCTCATTACCCTTTTGTTGAGAATCAATCAAACTTGGGTTTGTGCACGATAATTTACATGCTTTACCACTGAATCATACCCCTAACCCTGTTAATACTAGAAAAGGAAAGAAAAAAATTAGGATTTAGAAATGGGAAAGTACTCGTGAAGGACTTTTATTAAAGACAGCATCATTGCTGTGTAGCCCTGGCTAGCTTGAATCTCTACCTCATGAGTGCTAGGATTAAATGTGTGATTAAAGGCTTAATCTTCATTGTACTATGAGTCCTTTGGGGGCATGCTAAGGGATTTGGGCTTTGATGGATTTACATTGTTTCAGGTAAGGAAATGTTCTTGTCAGATTGGACATTTATGAAAGATGACTTGAATAGCTTCTGTAAGAGATTTTCATCTTTTCCCCTTTGGCTACTTTGGATAATTCATTACTTAGTTTTTCTGATAACTTTCTCAGGATCCCTTTGGTTACCCCCTCTGTGATACCTTTCCCTTTCTAAGTTTACTGCCAGTTGCCAAATTGAAGTTTTTGGCACTTGGAATATTTCTTCTAGGCTTTAGTTGAGTTCTTACATCCTAACAACACTCTTCCTGTGCCTGGGCTTCCCAGGGTAGAGCTCCATGCCAGTAACACTTAATGCTTATATAAAGATTTCAAATCCTAGTCGACTCCTTTCTGCATCTATCTACTGTTTTACCTCAGCATAGTTTCTTAGTGTCAGTTTCATTGTGCTTAGCCCCTATTTCTCATTGTACTTTACTCAGAGCAGCACAGGCAACCTACCCATGAGGATTTGAAGACATAACTGAGTGAATTCTGCAGACAAGTCCCAGCTTTGATATTCTTTGGCTGGGAAAAATTTGATCAACCTCTCTGCCTCTTTTTCTTCCTTTTTCCATTAAATAACAGTTGTACAATAGAGTCTTGGTATAATTAGCTTCTAATATGGCCAGCTTTGTTTTGGGCATGACATGTCAAGAAATGAGTGATGGCACTGTCCACAAAGGGTTTCCATCCTTGCTCTCCTGTGATCATTCTCAAGTTGGTCCTGGAATGTAGGTTTGTCTAGAATATGCATGGATGGCAGTTGTGCCAAAGCAAGACTACCGTGTGGGAAAGTGGGCAGTACTGATAGGGTACTCCCCAGCACATTTTTGGGCCTGGCTTCTGGAAAGACCCAGGGGAAGTTCCTTTAATTCCAGGGCTCAGGAACCTCATCTGCATTGATTTTAAAAGGTTTGTACCAGGTAGCAATACTCTTTGTATTTATCTGTGCTGTAGGGATGCTTCCAAACCTTCAACTGTTAGTTTTTTTTTTCCTTATAGAGTGTTTTTTTTGTTTTAAGATTTATTTATTCCATGTATATGAGTACACTGTCTCTGTCTTCAGACACACCAGAAGGAGCCATTGGAGCCCCATTACAGATGGTTATGAGCCACCGTGTGATTGCAGGGAATTGAACTCAGGAACTCTGGACGAGCAGTCAGTGCTTTTAACCACTGAGCCATCTCTTAAGCCCAGGCTATTCTTAAATATTGTGTATAGAAGTGTTTACCCTGCATGCATGTCTGTACTGCATGTATGAAGTGCCTGCAGAAGTCAGAAGAAGTCATCAGGTTCTAGAGGTAATCAGGAGCTATGTTTTGGTTCTTGTAACACTGTGCAGCAAGCACATGCTCTAGCTAATCATTGACCATCTCTCCAGCCCATAAAAGAAGCTGAATTTGTTCCACAATTCACTGATTATTTGTACAAAGTAATACAAGTACATAGTTAAGAGGCCAAAAAGTATATGCAATAAAGATGAAAAGGCTTCCTAGTCTCAACTTCTCTCCAGAGGGAGCCATCATAATAATGGACATTTGTATTTGGCTGGCTTATGTAAAGACCATCTCCCTCATACCCAGGATCACTACTAACAACATTAAGCAATTGTTATAAATTTGTTGTTGTTGTTTTTTTTGTTTTTTTGGTGAGACAGGTCTTATGGTAGCCTACAGTGGTCCTCCTGCTTTAACCTCCCCAGTACAGAGGTTATACATGTAGACCTCTTCCCCGCCACACTTAGACATGGTCTGAAAAACCCTTTAAGCACAAAAAGGTGTCTTTCTGCATGTTTTACTTGTATTTATATTGTGGTGACTTGGCATGTGTTTATATGCGGATTTTGGTTACTCTATTGTCTCTAAACCTTTGGGCGTCTTGGCATTTCATCAAGGCTTGAAGCATCTCTGTTGTCTCTCTCGGTCAGAGTTCATGGTTATAGCATGCAGAGCAGTGCTTTCACCCAGGAGAGGGCTTCCCACTACGATTTAGGCTTCTAAGCCTAAAACATTCTAATGTCAGGCTCAGTTGGTTCAAATCCTGGTACTTGAATCCACACTGGCAAGGCATCTGTTAAGGCTTTGTGGTTTTCTGTTGTGTATTTCCATAGTCAATTGTGTCTTTCCATAAACCATTGTGTCATCTCATAATGAGGGCTAGTATATTGATACCTCCCTAGTGAGTCTGTTCAGCTCAGAGTTTATGGTGTACTAGGAAAACTGCTCATCTTGTGCTTAAAGGTCTATTGTAAGGTAAAATGTCTTCATATTCTGCTTGGAAATGAATTTAGGATCTGTCATTAACCACTGACCAGTATTGGGCAAGTTATTTCATCCTTCATCTCAGAGTCCTTATCTGAAAAATGAGGATAACAGTATGACTTACAGCTGTCAATAAATTGTCAATGCGTGAAATTAAAAGTGCCTGCTGCATAGGAAGTAGTATGTAGGTTATATATAAACAATATGTTAATGCACTATAACTATGTACTTAACAAGTACATAATAGGTAGTATATTGTGACTGTACGTTTGCCATTGTCACTATTTTTGCTCTTGTTACTTAATGTGAACAAAAATCCCTTACTAGAAGTCTTCAAGTATGGTTGTTCTTGGGAGGAAAATGAAAACTGAAAAGAAATGGACATGGTGGGTGATGCCATAATCCAAGCATGGGGAATCTGAGGCATTTGGGATCTCTTGAGTTTGAGGCCACCTAGAGCTACAGAGTAAAATGCTACCACCCTAACCCTCCAAAAAAAAAAAAAAAAAAAAACCTCAACAAAACTGAAAACCCCAACAAAAAAAGTGAAAACATTTGCTTTACATGGTATTATTACCTCTTCACTGTAGTATACAATATGATGGTGCTTGATGTTCAGATAACTTGGACAGGTTACCCAAAACACACACATTGTAAGCAACAGGCAAGACTCTCCAGATCCAATTGTAAAAACACTGAACTGATTTAAATTTCTAAAGCAGAGATGCCTAGGATCAGTTCTTCTAGCTAAGCAGAGGCTTGGGTCACTGGCTTCTGGCTTAAGAAAATAATTCAAGAGAAGAATCTTGAAGAATATTCTCAGCCTACAGCATCAGGAAAGATTCTCTTGTCTGCAGAGCCAGCTCCTCCATTAAGCTTTTACATAATGGCTTCTCATAAAACTTAAAACCACTGGTTCTTTTTACTTCTGTTCTGTGCTTCAGCAGGATTGGTAAAGTTAACTTCAGTTATCCTGAGTTTGGATCAGTCAGTTATCTGAGTACTGGTCCAGTTGGCAAAAACTACTTACTTTCTCTTTGAAATAAGTTAGAGTGAGGAAGAGCATGAAAGTTCATGAGGGAATACAGCCTGGTGGGTTTTATGCTCATGTTCTTCAGAAGTTCTCATGATGTCTCCTTATCAACTCAGCTCATCCACAGAATCTCATTCCTGGGGGATTTCCCTAGATGAGTTCATCACTAGCAGTATACTGGCTGCCAGTGTGATTTGTGCCTTACCTCCATAATGGGAAACTTCTTTACCCAAGTGCTATTTGCTGGATCTGGAATGGTTCTGCTATACCATTGAGGTTTGAGAGTAGAAAGGAGAGTAAATGCCCTATAAGTAAGAAGAGAGTGACATTTGGTTAAATATGTATATAACAGCACAGGTGCACAGGCTTTCATTGCAGCTATTTCAGGGGAGAGGATTCTTTTGTATAAAGAGCAAAACAGTCCCTCAAAAGAAGCATTATCTAAGGCTAGAATTCCTTGGATTGGTGACAGGCTGCAGCCACCTAGAATTTGCTAAATAAACTTAAAAAAATTTGCTTTCACTTAATTTTTAGCAGTCTGTCACTATCCATGTATTAATTCAGCAAACAGCATTAAACTAAATATGTGACCAGTACAGTGGCACATGCTGGAAATAGAGCCAGGCAGAAGACATTGTTCATATGCCTGTGGATCTTACTAATGAGCTAATTAAAATATTTACAGAGTTTGTAATACGATCAGAGAAGGCCATGATTAAACTGTTAGAGAATGGTTCTCAACCTTCCTAATGCTGCCACCCTTTAATATAGTTCTTTATGTTGTAGTGATCCCAATCCATGAAATTATCTTGTTGCTACTTCATAGCTATAGTTTTGTACTGTTATGAATCATGTAAATATCGGATATGCAGGATATCTGATAATGCAACCACTGTGAAAGGGTCATTCAACACCCCCCCCCCAACACACACACCTGTTCTCCGCAGGGGGCTGTGACTCATAGGCAGAGGACCACTGTGTTAGATGGATTTGCTATCTGGCAATGGTGGGTAGTGGTAGTTTGGATGTGATTCTCTTTGACTCCGGAGATGAACTTTATCAAAGTCTTTTTAAAATATTTGTTTTTGTCTTCCTATGTGTATGAGTATTTTGCCTGGTGTCCACAGAGATGAGAAGACGGAATCAGATCTCCAGGAACTAGTGTAACAGATAGTTGTGAGCTGCTCTGTGGGTACTAAGAAGTGAACCTGACCTCCCTACAAAGAGCATCCAAAGTCTTTTTAAAAGACCTATGCTTCAAGGCTCTTTTGGTAGATCTGCCAGACAAAGTGGCTGGCCAAATACTGAGCTAGTTGTATTTGGCACCTATTACTTGGCATCTGAAGACAGCTTTGTGTTGAAAAATGAACTGATTATTTTTCTTCTGCAAAATAGTACTTTTTAAAAACTAAGAAAAGAAATTATTATTTTGTATTGGTGTTGGTGCACATGTGCTATCATGCATGTGAAAGTCAAAGAACAACTTAGTAGTGGATTATAGAGATCAATCTCAGTTGTCAGCCTTGGTGACAAGTGCCTTTACCTACTGAGATCTATCTTGTCAGTCCAATTTTTATAAAATAAATAGAATTAAAGTCACCTATCATTTCATCCCCAAATATAATAACCACCATTTAATACTGTGTAGTGTATCTTTGGAGCAGAGTGTTCATTGCCGTTGACTACTTCCTCCTTTTTCTTCAGTTAAGGATCTTGCTTTATTGAAGTAACAGTAAAAGCTAAAAGACTACAATGTTAGTCACCCTTTTCTTGCCTCGCCAGGTTCTATTGAGACTTAACTAAAAGTATCCTGTCCATCTTCTTCAAGACTCTTTAAGGGGAAGTATTGACACCCCTTTCCTATTTCCCTCAATTGTAGAATAGTGGCTGTAGTCCCACAGCTGTGAGATCACAGAGTGAAAGCTCACACGGAAGCTGTAGGATGATAAAGTGCAACATCTCATACAAATCAGGATAGTACAATAGAAATATTGTTCAGGCCAACTGTGGAGTCACAAAAGCAACAGGCCTTTACCTAGGTTTTTTTTTTTGTTGTTTTTTTGTTTGTTTTGTTTTAAAATCCAGCCGAGAACCTACTACAGCAGCTTACAAGGATTCCAACAGGCAGAGTACACACAGCAACTACATACTGAGAACTTGGTTGGAGGTTCTAATAGAACACAACTACTCATGTACCCTTGATGGGGAAAGTGATTTTGGGTTTGTGCCTTTGAGAGAGACTGTATAGTGATGAGGGAAGAAGGAGACTTTTTCCTAGGTTGCCAAATGAGCTGAGTCACCCTGATGATTAGTGGGGTGTCAGATGATGCAGCCGGATTGCCCACTTCTCATCTGTGTATGTGACATATTTCTGTATGCATTTTATTTCAAAATGTAAATATATTGTCTGTCCTGCAAAATTTAAAAAATAATATACTTAATACACTAATTTCAATATTATGGATAAGTAGTTATTTTCATATGGTGTTTTGGTGAATCTAGTCTCACTGACTATAACGTTTAGGTTCTTTTATTTTCCTTACGGACAGTATTTCAGTAAGCATATTTTCTTTCAACTATATGCATATATCTATGATACATATATTCATATATCTGTTTGGGATTTTAAAATTAAATGTAAACTTTAAAAAATTTGTCATATACTCAGCCAAAAAGGTTGAATAGTTTTTTCTACTACCAGTGATGTATCCACCTGACCCACAGCAGTGATGGTTTATAATTTTTATTTTTTGCTTTTATACCATTTTAATTGCATGTAAGTATTAAGGTCAGTTCTAGGTTGAGGAACTAGCAATACAATAGATGCAAATAGTCAAGGAACGAGCAAGGCAATAAGCAAAGTCCTGTGATCGCTCCTATGATCACTGTTTCTAAGGGCTTATCAGGATGACCAAAATATCAGCCTACTTCCCTGTCCTAGCCCAAAGTCATTTTCATGCCTGAAGCCTACTTCTTTGTTCTTCTAGCCTAAGATTTAGATTCCTGCCTGAAGCCCATTTCCTTGTCTTGGCTAATGTCAGGTTCCTGCCAAGCAGCCTGAAAAGCTCTCCACATCTCCCCCACTTTTTTAATTTCATAAACATTACCTGTCATGGAATATGCATTATTAAAAGCAGTCCACTTCTGTCTTAGGTTTGTAAGGTTCTGTGCAGAATCTTTTTTTGTTTTTGTTTTTTGTTTGTTTGTTTGTTTTTCGAGACAGGGTTTCTCTGTGTAGTCCTGGCTGTCCTGGAACTCACTCTGTAGACCAGGGTGGCCTCGAACTCAGAAATCCACCTGTCTCCGCCTCCCAAGTGCTGGGATTAAAGGCATGCGCCACCACAGCCCGGCTCTGTGCAGAATCTTAATCTGTCCTTGGCTTGCCAGCCTGTTTAATAACTCTGTTTGTGGGTGATGGTTTATAATTTTAAAATGCATTTATAGGACTAAAGCATTAAAGATGGCTTTTAGTGGGTACTAGTATTTGTTGTACATGCATGAAGATCTGTTTCACTTCCTTGGGAAACACATAAAAGCCAGGTATAGCCAGATGTCTGTGCCTGTAAACCCAGTATTTCAGGAAGGAGACAGCAGAATCCCGGGAGCTGGCTGGTCCATCAGCTTAGCTAAAATGTCAACCTTGTCATCAGTGAAAGATCCTAAAAGTGAATAAGGCTGAAAGCATATAGGAAGACATCCAACATCTTTCTCTGCCCTCCACATGCCTATCCATAGCTGCATGCTTCCCTTTATATGCACACACATATATAACTCATGCACACATGCATCTGCAGTCCATGTATTAAATTGGGGGTACAACCAACTCACTTTTGTCGGAAGTAACGAATTGAGAAAGTCCCCACCATGATGATAGCGATGCAAATGCTTGATATCACGAATGTTTTCCAGTTGACTTTGCCTGGAAAGTTAGCAGATCTTGTTACTGAGTTATCTTCAATGAATTCTTCAAAAGTTTGATCTTTTTGAGTCCTCTGGACCTTAGTCATTTTTTGACTATTTAGTTAGAAGGACCCTATGGGGCTCAATTGTATATTTTAAGAGGTACTTCAGCCCTGTAAAGGCTCCCCCAGCTCACACATGTAGAAGGAGTGTATAGTAGTAGACATAAGCCTCACAGGGATTCCTGCATGAAAGAAAGGAGTTCTTCTGCATTTTGAAAGATGAGTTGACACTGTCTTCAAGCAGTCAGTAAGGCTGGAGGGGAACTCAAAGGTAGCAGCAAGCATGAAGTAGCTGCACGAAAGTCACTAGTGAGGTAAGAAAAGTCCAGTGGGAATGTGTCTGTGTCAGAGCCCACAGTTGGTTGGCTGTCTTTAGTTTCTTACCCTGTGGACAAAATTCCCTTTCATTTCCTTGGGGACTTTCACCAGCAGCTGTCACAGCTGTCATCCATAGGACATATGTCACCCTGGGCTGTAGGCTGCTTATTGGATGTGAATTTTGAGAGTGTCTGTATTGAATTTCTGAAAGGAAGATAAAGGAAAATGTGGTATACAGAATAATTGAATGAAGGGTACTCAACCATTTTTATTCTTAGGGCATCATTTAATTTGCGAGAGAGAGGCATATTGCTGTCTTAAAAGCATCAAAATCCATCAGCACTTAGTACTTCAAGAGGCATGGTCAGTTATGAGGTCTTGTTAGTGCAGCATACAGTTTTTCTGTGATAGAAATGTTCTGAAAGAATTGTTATTCTTACCCGTGAAACTCTTTAGTTGGAGCAATTCTTTTGTTTTCTATATTTCTCATATTTAGTTGGAGCAAATATTTTGTTTCCTATGACTGTATTTTTCATATTTATCAAGTCATTTGTTAACTACTGAGGAAATATAATTTTTAAGATGATAGAATTTTTTTAACATCTAAGTTTACACATTAATGAAACATTTAAAGTTTTATTTCATTTAACTTTATGTATATGGGTGTTTTGCCTTCATGTATGTCTGTGTATCAAGTGTATGCCTGGTGCCCTCAGAGGACAGAGGTGGGCACCAGATCCCTGAAATTTGAGGTACATACAATCATGAACTGCAGTGTGGTTGCTGGGAATTGAACGTATATCCTTTGAAAGAGCAACCTACGCTCTTAATTGCAGCACCATTTTTCCAGCCCCTACTCAAGGTTTTTAGACTATACTTTTGTTGTGCTTTTGCTGTTTTTTTGTTTGTTTGTTTTTGGGTTTTTTTTGTTGTTTTTTGTTTGTTTGTTTGTTTTTCTTGTTAGGCTCTAGTCTTGAACTTATAGTGCATAGCTTCAATTTGACATAAAATCATAAAAAAACAGAGCTATGGTACAGAGATGAAGCTTCTTTGGCACCCAGATTGCAGTTCCTTATGCTTTCAACACCTATAGTTTCTCTACAAGGTAGTGTGTGGAGCAATGTATTGATGCTGCTTTTCTCTTTAAGACAAGAGTGAGTCCTGGTAGACTTTAGGAAACAGTCTTCTGGAGTGTTCTGGGGTGGCTTTCAGGGTGACCTTCAACAGCTGGGGAAAAATGCTGAGTATGGTGGTACAAACCTGTAATCTCAGCATCTGGGAGGCAAAGGAGAGAGGGCTGTAAATCAAGGTATAGTCTGTAGCTGTGTCTAAAGTGCTTGCCTTCTATGTATAGTCTCCTGGGTTTCATTCCCAGTATCAAGGCCAGAACTTGAACAGTAGTAGCTACTGGCTCACTTAGTTAGCCTGTGCCTATGCTGAGGGCAGTGGTGAAACTGGAACTTAGCACTGTGTCTAACTTCATAAGCAGACTCATGAACAGACACAGATGCTTGTTGGCTGCATCAACTCAGAGAACCATGTAACAGAAAAAATAACTGTTACCCACTTTGCTGTTCCTACTCACAAAGGTAGTAAGAAGGGGCCCTGGAATATTCCCTGTGCCCCACTGAAAAGGGATGAGGCCTGAGCAGTTCATTTCATAGGGACTATCAGAATAGTTCTATATTTTACCACCTGTTAAGAAAAACACCTTGTGGAAAATCCCAAGGTCTGGTATAACCTGGTGAAATTGCTTATACAGACTTAAGCAATATAATTGTGTAAGCACACATGTGCATTTCTGTGTGTTTCCTATTTCTAAAGCAGGGATTTTTTTTTTAAAAAAAATGAATTTTAGGAAGAGCTGTTCATTTTGCAGGTACCAGGGTGTTGGCTGTCCACGTATATGAAGTGTCCTGAGCTGAGAAAGAGAGATGAAACACTGGAACAGAAAGGAAGGGATTTCTGTGATTTGCTGGGCTGGTAATGTTCATTCGTGCATGCATGTTTGAAGAACAAAAATAGCAGCTGTTGTGGGGAGCTGCAAATAGTAGAGTCAGCAGTTTTGTTAGCAAAATAGGCTGAGTTTTGTAATGAGAGAAGTCCAGCAGGAAAGACAGGTCCTGCTGCCTCTGGGCTGTGATCCCCAGAAGAGATAAAGGGGTTCCTTCAAGCCTCAGCAGATGAAATTTTAAACTTGGGTGGTTCAGTGATAAAGGAATGAATTTAGAGGATGTGATCATTGTCATCCATCTGAAAGACAGGGCTTTGAAGGTCAAGAAGACACAGTTACTGGGAATGAATTCAACCATTCAATGAATACTGAGCTTTGTAAGTGCACCTACTATCTCTCTGGCTGTGTTGTAGAGGAGAGGTGATCGAATTGCCAGAACTTGTGTCTTTGACTGCTTAGAATTTGTTGGCAAAAATAGGCAGTGTCATGTATCCTGCAGAGAGGAGATGTGCTTACTGTTGGAGCTCTATTGCATATAGCCATACCAGCAGACATCCAGACAACAGGCCATGTGCACTGAGAAGCTGGGGCACCTAATTTTTCACCTCACCTCACCTGCCAGGAAGAACTAGAGCCAAAGAACTGATATTTTCACATACATTTGCTCAGTTCCCTGGACCTGGGTACCTAAACTAAGCAGACAGGCTTGAACCCCAATCTTTTGGCACTGGCAACATTTCTCCTGCTATTGGAACTCTTTTCTTTCTAGGTGTCTTGTTTCTCCTTGACTCTTTCCACCATCTAGAATAGGTCTTAAATTTAGTGCTTTCTGGTTGCACTGTCCTACAGTAGTGTTTGTTTAGATTTTCCTAGCTGTTGGCACACTGAAGGCTCTGAGGATAGAGAATGGAGCTTACTAGTCAATATTCACTGAAGTGGGAATTTAATCTAGACTGTGAAATCTTGTGAATCAGATTGTGAATCTTGTCTTTTAGTTTATTTTAAAATACTCTAGTGTAGGCTTTAGATGCATCAGACCTGTTACAAAATATGGTAGGTTATTTTCAACATATACAGTAATGACTGCAGGACCAAACTGACTGTACTGACCTTTATGGTTGTAAGTAGGTATTGGTTTAAATTTTGCTGAAAGGAAGTCATTTGTGGGGCAAATATTATAGGAAGGATTCCAAAGAGCTCATGAAAAGGCCAGATGATTTGTCAGCCTTTAGGAGGCCTCTCAGAACTGACTTACCCTGACAAGCGTGGTGACAGATTAGCCAACAAATGACTAAGTCTACAGAGCTGTCAATTAAGAATGAGTCAACTCCGCAGAGACAGATGTGGGAAGATCATAGAACGTGCAGGTCCATACAGAAAAAGGTCCCAAACACGTTTTTATGTGTGCATTATTGACTTTTTCTGGAGGAATAGACACAGAATAGCCCAAGAACTTCTTTTCTTTCAAAACTACTTACAAAAGTTAACTGTGATAGTCATACCAAGAGAAAGGTCAAGAATGAAGACGGACATTTTAAGGTTCTTAAGCTCTCCTGCAGCAAAGCTCTGCAGCTGCCACTCAAGTGGCCTTCTTAGATTTGGGGGCCAGTAACTCCAATGAAAATCCCTCTTCTGTCTAACAATTCACCTGAAAGAAAGTCAACTGTTTGTGAAACAGAAGTGCAAGCCAAGAAGCAACAAAAATGAAAACAAAGCAGCTCTGATTAGATCAAAGATGGGAAGAGCAGGTCTCACAAGTGACTACTCAGATGAGTGAGTAGTTCATGAAACTATTTTGAGATAATGCTTTGGCCAGAACTTATTAGAAGTGTTCTGCTTTTTCAGCTAGAGAACAATTATAAGTGATAGTTACTTAAACAGTGCTGTATTTTACCCATTCCAAGAAGGAAATAACATGATGTTAATTGCGTATGTGAAGGGTTAAAAACTCTGCAAATGTGCCCCTGAACCTGGAAGATGTATACGAGGAGCACTGAGGTGCCTGTGCTGTATGTTTACGTCTTAAGCTCTACTACTAGAACTGACTTCATCAACACCAGTCTAACTTCGAGTTTTCTTGAGTTTTGGTTGCATAATTGGATTTTCTTTATGTTTTACCTGTCCTTATGTGTTTGGTCACCAGTTCAACACAAACACAAGGGTTACTATTTGTCATTTGGTTTGAGTTAGTATCTCACTGTGTAATCCAGGCCTACCTCTCCTGCCTTAGCCAGGCTGGTGCTGTCTCTTCTGAGCAGGCACTTTGAGAGCCTAGTCCATTCGCTTCACTTCTCTGTCTTTAACAGTTTGCTTAGCATGTAATGCATACTCAGTAACTTTGCACATGTGTATTTTGGTGTCTTATATTTCTTCATTCAACTCACTTGACAAGCGCTTACTTAGTGTACCCACTTGTGTGGAGTGAAGACGTGCCCCGTCTTGTGCTTTCCCAACATCTAAGCAAGAGGCCCTACTGTGCTAGTGTTTCACACATACCACAGAGCTCAGGTTGTGCTGTAGAGTCTCGTTCTTTCCAGTATATTCTGTAATGGAGGATGCAGCCCCTTTGCTCCAGGAATGGGATGTGGGTCCAGGAAATAAGAAGGCTTTCCTTTTTTTCTGTGATGGCAGTGATATGAGGGCCACTCAGTGGCACTGGAGGGAAAAAGGACACAAGAGGTTTCTGTCACCCTCCAAATCTAAACCACTAACAGAAGCCTGAAAGATGCCGAGGCTCACCTTTGTGCCTGAAGTCACCCCGGATGGAGCTGCACCCTCCTTGGTCCTCTGACAGTGCATGTATCTGGATCTCATAACAGATATAGGGCTTTATATTCTCTGCAAGGGAGAGGGAGTCATGTTAATTTCTCTATCCAAGTCATTTTTAGCTTTTTTTAGTTTCAAGATTAAAGAGCAGTGTGAACTAAGGTTAAAGCAATGGCCTAAGCTAGTTTCCCTGCCTCCTATTTTCCATGATGCCAGCTTCTAAGTATTGCTTCCAAGAAAACCGATGGTATTTATTTATTTATTTATTTATTTATTTATTTATTTATTGTATATGAATACATTGTCGGATGTCTTCAGACACACCAGAAGAGGGCATCAGATCCCATTAGAGATGGTTGTAAGCCACCATGTGGTTGCTGGGAGTTGAACTCAGGACCTCTGGAAGAGCAGCCAGTGCTCTTAACCACTGAGGTATCTCTCTAGGTGGATTTTATTTATTTGACAAATTCTTGCTATGTGGCCCAAACTGGCTTCAAATTCATAACAGTCTCCCTGCCTCAGCCTCCGGCCAAGGGTTCAGACTACCATGCCTCATTTCTTCATCTAAGAGAACAGAGTAATTATTCTTAAAAAGGAGAAAAGCCTGGAAAGCTCCATGAAGATTTAAACATCCACACAAATACAAGCATACAGAATATTGGATTTCTACAAATGAATCATTTATTTGTTGTTTACATGGAGCAGCTGGAGTTTGGCAGGCATAAGTACTCCAGTGGCTTTTCTAGTTCCACAGTGCTCATCAGGATCAGCAGCAGCCCAATGGCACCCTGGTAAGTGACTAAGTGCACTTGGAGGAGTTCAGCCCCTGATGCCTGCCCTTGGCTCTCTGGGTCCCTCCAGTTAGATCTCAGAGCCTCAAAGACTTAGGTAACTTCCAGGAATGTCAGTGCTCCTTTCTAGCTTTTAAGTGCCATACTTTGCAACTTTCTAACAGTCTTCAAGAATTAAGTGCCTCTTGCCTGCCCAAAGCCCCTATTGTATTTCCTGTGATGGACCTTTAAAATTCCAAATCTTGCCAGGTGGTGGTGGTGCACACCTTTAATCCCAGCACTTGACAGAGGCAGATGCCAGAGGGCAGAGAGGCAGAGACAGGCAGATCTCTGTGAGTTCAAGACCAGTCAGTTCCAGGACACTCGGGGCTCTTGCACAGAGAAACCCTGTTTCTAAATAAATAAGTATCCACATCTTTTTTTTCACAGCTTATTTTCAGTGTATGTGTGTGTGAGTGTGTGGAGGATGTGGTGTGGGTATGGGTGGGTTGGTGTGTCCATGGAAGTCAGAATAAGGCATCAGATCTCCTGAAATTGGAGTTAGAGGCAATTATGGGCTGCCTGACATGAGTTCTCTGGGAAAGCAGGGATTATTCTTAACTTCTGAGCCGTCTGTCTAGCCCCTAAATTCCAAATTACCTAGTGAGAGATAACTCCCACTAGGTAACTATAGTATCAGGTGCTTAAAAGCAGGCCAATAACTTACTTGGGTCCCTTACACTAAAAATTGATTAGGTTTGATGTCTTTTGGATGTGCAGAGGAATTTCACATCACCCAATTACTTACTAAATTGTGTATGGCTTTTTTTTTCCTTCTTTTAAACATGAAAGCCCATTAAATCATCACTCAACCAATTGTGGGAGAGAGCCTGACAAGAACAAATGCACATTAGGATGGGCTCCGACTTGAGTTCATAAACCAGAGAAAGTGCAGAAAGCAGTTGCCAGCTTGATCTGTAGAGAGCCATGAGATCCAGGCTGAAGGGCAACGGAAGATATGGAATCAGACTTTCTTCGGAAGGCTCTGGCAAGTGGCTCTGTGTTTCCAGTGTTTGGTTTGCTCTTCTGCCCCATGTCTTGGGAGGAGCTAACCAACCATTGTACCCTGTGGAGATCTGGGAGTTTCTGATGAGCCTTGCAAAGCAAAATGTGAGCAAGAACATTACTGTATCAATCACAAGCTGAGGGTTTTTTTTTTTCCTTGATGATTCTGTATGCACACCCTACAATGTATCTTCAGTGGAGGAAGCCTATGTGCGGAATGCTCTCATTTCCTTTGTGCTATGGCCCAGTTTCCAAGCTCCTTTCGTGCCATTATGCTGACCTGTATACACAGCACCCTTGGGCAAAGGCCTTGTCTCTGTGTTTATAAGCTATTTTACAGTTTTATTTTCCGGGCAGATATTGAGTTTCACTTCAGGTGTGGAACAAAGCAGGCAACTCCTCCACGAATACTGTAACCAAGAGTCATTATGTAGGCACTGAGACACAGTGGTCAGACAGGATGGTCATGATAGTCTATAGGTCCACCAACCCACAATTCAGGAATCAGGTTTACTCTGGCTCATGCTAGAACATCTCACACTATCCATACAGCCAGAGTCAGGAAAAGCTTGTAAGGGCCCAATGGCATTGGGAATAAATAATTTAAATTTGTGCTAAGTAGCAATGAAATTTTCAGTTCAACAGGAAGTGATCGCAAACCAAGTATTTCCAAGTGGCAGAACAATATTAATATGTTATTTTACAACTTTATTAGCTTAAGGTTTTATTCAAATACATAATACAAAAGTGATTCCCAGTATTTAATTTTACTAAGTGTGAAGAACATTTTCATCATCTACTTTATGGTATTTGTATAGAATGATCTGATTTCCAAAAGAAAGGCACAGTTCAAATTGTCTACGAGGGATGAATCTTGATATTGCCTCCCAGTTTTGTCAATGTGCTTCCTATCCGTGTTTCATTTAATTTGATGTGTGGGATAGCCCTTGTGGGAAACTGGTATTACTATAAAGCCTCCAGCTATCCCAGAAGAAAGTCACAAAGCTGTTCTCAAAACTGATGCCTCCTGCTGGGGTATTGTAATGCATGCCTTTAATTCTACCACTCAGGAGGCAGAGGCAGGAGGATTGCTGTGTCTCAAACAACAACAAAATGCCTTCTTTTCTTACCATTTCCTTTCAGGTTTGGAGTCTTCTTGCACTCCAGAACAACCAAGGAAACACACACACTTTTGCATGTATACATGTTGAAACCAGCAACAACAATCAAACTTCCTGTCACACCCTTCTAGATTTCTCTTCTATAGGCTAAACGGTTTCCAAATAAAAACTTTTAGACTCTCAGTGGCCTACTGTTCTTTCTCTAGATGCTCACTGCATACAGCCTTCTCTGTAACAGTTATTAAGAAGATCTTAATCTGTGAGAAGTCTGGCAAGCAGGCCAAGCAAGAGGCACACAGTCAAGGACCAGCTCATGTATTATTATTTTTTTTTAAAGATTCATTTCTTTATTGTATATATATAAGTACACTGTAGCTGTCTTCAGACACACCAGAAGAGGTCATTGGATCCCATTACAGATGGTTGTGAGCCACCATGTAGGTGCTGGGAATTGAACTCGACCTTTGGAAGAACAGTCGGTTTTCCTAACCACTGAGCCATCTCTCCAGCCCCATGTATTATTATTTAATATGGTGTTTTTCTCCAAGTACATCTTATCTTAAGCAGGTTGTATACATCCCCTAAAGATGTAATGGTTTTCATAGTGTAACAACAATATAGACTTTAGTTGGCAAACCTATTCAATTCTTTCCATTTATTTATTTACTTATTTGCTTATTTATTTTTATTTATTTTTTTGAGAACGTCTCCGTCTCCCTATGTAGCCCTGGCTGTTCAGGAACTCACTACGTAGAGCAATCTAGCCTTGAACTCAAACATCCTCCTGCCTCTGTCTCCTGGGTGCTGTGATGTACCAGCATGCCCCTTCAATTCTCATTTCTGGCAGATTTAACAATAATCGCTTGTTAGATAAAAAAAAAAAATCAGTACTAGAAATATGCTAAGTGCTGTTTAGAACATTGTAACCGGGCTGGAGAGATGGCTCAGTGGTTAAGAGCACTGACTGCACTTCCAGAGGTCCTGAGTTCAAATCCCAGCAACCACATGGTGGCTCACAACCATCTGTAATGAGATCTGATGCCCTCTTCTGGTGTGTCTGAAGACAGCTACAGTGTATTCATATATAATAAATAAATAAATCTTTAAAAAAAAAAAAAAGAACATTGTAACCCCTGACAGAAACCTTACTTAGCAATAGAGATCCCGATTATCATATACTAGTTCTAGATTTATTATGATACAAATGACAAAGAGCAGGTTTGGGAATAAGGATCACTTGATTTTGTCATCTGTATGATGGGTTTAAAATAATGAGTCTACACAAAAATTATTTTGAGTTAAATGAGTTTCCAAAGATAAAGGTATCTGCTATATACGTAACTCTTCCAAAACCATGAGACTTCTTATTCAGTTGGTCCTCAAGTTAGTCCTGAGGACAATCTTTTTGTTTTTATTTTCTTCAAGACAAGGTCTCACTGGAGCTCTGTCTCTCCTAGAACTCACTATGTAGACCTGTCTGGCCATGGATCCTTCCAAGTGCTGGGATTAAAATTGTGCAGCATCCCACCACACCTGACTTACAGGACAGTCTTGATGGACTATAAGTTCCCATTGTTTAGGACCCTAATACACCATGTAGCCTTCTGTAACTAAAGGCAAAACTTTGCTTTAAGTCTCCCCAAATGTCTTAGGGTTTCTGCTGTTATGATAAAACACCATGGCCAAAGCATGGAGAAGATAAGGTTTATTTCATTTTATAGCTTATAGTCTATCATCCAAGGAAGTCAGGGCAGAACTCACGGTAGTATCTGATGGAAGCCACGGAGAAATGCTGTGTACTATAGCTTGCTCACCATGCTTTCTTACAGCACCCAGAACCACCTGCCCAGGGGTGGCACTGCCCACTGTGGAGTGGGCACTCCCACATCAATCATTAAGACAATACCTGATAGACTTTCATACTATCAAGTTTATGGAGGCATCTTCTCAATTGTGAGTCCCTCTTCTCAGATAACTCTAACTGGTATCAGGTTGACATAATACTAGCCAGCACACCAAATAAATGGGGCCTTGGTGGCCCTCTAGAAGGAATGAGAGTAGTGAGGTACCTGAAAGTAGAGCAGACATGTTGTAGGGGGGGATCCGAAGCCAGTGTGGGGGAAACTTAATGATGCTCTCTGGTTGGAGAGCCCTCCATTCCACTATGTACTCCCGAACAGCAGAGGCAGCTTTCCCAGGAGGCTGCCAGGTCACCATAATGTTGTCCATGTTCTCTGACTTTGCAGAGACCTGGTGAGGAGCCAACAACCCTTTGGGAGTGAGGTAGAAGAAGAACAAAACAAGAATGGATAAAGTTGAAAACAGGAACTGGAGAGACATCTTATCAATAAAGTGTTTGAGGAGCTGAGTTCAATCCCCATAACCCACTGGGGGAAGCTAGGCATTGCTGGCATTGTGGTACACAGTTGTAATCCCAGTACTGGGAAGTGGAGACAGGAAGATCCCTGGGGGCGTCTGGTCAGCCAGCCTAGCCTTCTCAGTGAGCTCCAGGCCAGTGAGTGACCTTGGTTTTCCTTCCTTCCTTTCCTTCCTTCCTTCCTTCCTTCCTTCCTTCCTTCCTTCCTTCCTTCCTTCCTTCCTTCCTTTCCTCTCCTCTCTCTCTCTCTCTGTCTCTCTCTCTGTCTCTCTCTCTGTCTCTCTCTCTGTCTCTCTCTCTGTCTCTCTCTCTCTCTGTCTCTCTCTCTCTCTCTCTCCCTTTCTTTCTTTCTTTCTTTCTTTCTTTCTTTCTTTCTTTCTTTCTTTCTTTCTTTCTTTCTTTCTTTCTTAAAAAAAGCAGTAACAAAATCCAAAAATCAAGGTAGATTGTGGCAAAGGAATGACATACACCCAAGGTTATCCTGTGGCTACACGTGCACACATGCATCTGCTCATATATGAACATGCACACAAGATAAAAACACATGACAGCTTATTCTCAACTAAGTTTTGCAATGTGTCAATGTCTTTTTAGGGACATCCATGTCAAGTTATATGCTTTCAGTTCATGGAGGATTAACCTCAGCAGCTTGTACTATAGTCCTGTGTAGCTTTCCCTGTGGATTTATTTCCTCTTTGAATTCACTTACTGCATTCCCTCAAAGTGTTTACTGCATTAACTGTAACATATATATCCTTTTAATACACCTCCCATATGTCGTTTTAGCATAATAATGTACCACTGAAAAGCAATGTAACCCCTTTGCTTGTGTGTTTTCTCAAATGTCTCACTTAACCGTCTGCTTTTGAGATGAATCCATTCTCCTTCTTTATGCATACTCAGTTTACTCCTTCACACTTCTGCCTAAGCCCTTTCTCACCTGCTTTCGATGGACCAGCAGCAGCAGCCTGAGTATTTTATTTATTGAGTAATAATGATAATAACATTTATTTAAAAAATAACCCCTCCAAAAGCAACAAAACATTGAACAAAAATTAAAATGTCTTTTTAGCTTATATTTGGACTGAAAACCTAAGCATAAAGGGCAAAACTAGCATAAAGGCCAATAGGAGAAGATGTTGTTGAGTGTGCTTATAAACTGACTCAAGCCGGGCGGTGGTGGCACACACCTTTAATCCCAGCACTTGGGAGGCAGAGGCAGGCGGATTTCTGAGTTCGAGGCCAGCCTGGTCTACAGAGTGAGTTCCAGGACAGCCAGGGCTACACAGAGAAACCCTGTCTCAAAAACAAAAAAACAAAACAAAACAAAAACAAACAGCAAAAAAACAAACAAAGAACAAAACAAGAACTGACTCAAGGACACAGTGAGCATTCTCTGCAGCACCACTGGTGCATGTGCAAGGCCATTCTAGATGTGCATACATAAACCTGCTAGATGAGAGTATCCTCTGACTGATGTAAATCAGGTGAACAGGAGAGGGATGCAGACATTGCCTAGCATTCTGGAGGCACTGAGCACATGCATGGAATATGATAACATCCAATGGCATGTCGACACTTCACCGAGAAAAGCTAGCATGAGAATTCTCACTTCATCTACTTATTACCCCACTTTGTACTGTTTATCAATCTGATACACACACACACACACACACACACACACAATCTGATTAGAATTTTGTTTTTCATGTTTGTGGATTCCTAAGGCCAAGCTTCTCAGTGAGCTTTCTTCTGTGGTTATTTGTAGACTTGGCTCCTTTTTCTGTATTTCTGCCCTTTTCTGATCGGCAGGTAGCTTTGATGATCCTAATTATGGAAAAAATTTCAACTCTTAATGCAGTCAGTCAGTTCTCTGACAACTTTGTTAGCTCCGTGGGTGTTGGTAAATTTACCCCAGTTTTGATTTTTGAATCTTGTTTGTAAAATTCCATCACCCTGGTACTATGATCACATTCAACTTTTCCTGTTGGCCTTTAGTTTTGCCTTTTATGCTTAGCTTTTCAGTTAATATAAGCTAAAAAGGGTTATTTTATTTTTTGTTGTTTTGGGGGGATTATTTTAATAAATATTATTATTATTATTAAATTAAATAAATGTTATTAACTATTTATATTTTCCAGGGCCTGTACTTCTGTATTCTCAACTGCACAGACATGTCTCACCTGCTAATGCTTAGATATTTGTCTTTTCTTTCAATCCTGGGGACAGTGGTTTCCCTGGGGTTTTACTTCTCTGGTGGTTTAAAGAAGAGCTGAGTAATGGGAAGGAGGAGCATGATCAAAGTACATGATAAAGACATATAAAAATGGCATATCAAACCTGTGAATACTCATTAATAAAAATAATAGAAAGCCCTTCTGAAGTAGAAACGAAAGATATTTTATGCTAGCCTTCCAATTAAAATTAGAAATGTTACTACCTGGGGGAAAAAGTCCTTCATACTCTAAGAATGAAGTTGGTTAGTATTTATTTGAAGAACAATAGAAAAGTATAAAGCCAAAGGCTCAACAACAACAATAAAAGCAGTTTCCTGCGTACAGACATTTATTTTACCTGTGAGGGAAGGAGGAGGGATGGAAAGGATTGCTGTCTTTAGTTTGTCTCCTTTTTACTTGCTTTAGGACAAAGTAGTCATTAAATGCTGTATGTCTTTACCTAGAAGTTGGAACTATTGACACTAATTTTGAATATACATATAGATTTAAAGTGCTAATAATTCATTTAGATTTTAAAGTGATTTAAACAATAATCTTTCTGATACTGTCTTTATTTGCATTCATTAATAAAGTTCAATTGATCCCACAAAGTAGATTGGACAGCTCACCTTACTTTCTATTTTCTATAGGAACTTGAATAAAATAAGATCATATGTTCTTTCAGGGTTCAATTGTACCAAGGTTTGTGCCTGGACATCTTTTTAAAAAGAGCATAGTGAAGTAGGTTAACTCTAACTTTAAAAATGGTCATTATTTTCATTAAACATTGAAAAATTTTCTTCTGGCCAGCAAGACAGCTTATCAGGTAATGGCACTGGCTGCCTTTATTTTACATGCATGTTTTCTTCTCTCTCTCTCTCTCTCTCTCTCTCTCTCTCTCTCTCTCTCTCTCTCTCCTCTGTGTGTGTGTGTGTGTGTGTATGTGTGTGTGACTGTGTCCTTACATGCAAGTATCAAAGCATATATATATAGAGGTCAGAGGACACTTTCTGGGAGTTTGTTCTCTCCTTTCACTATATGATCTCAGGGCCATAACTCAAGTCTCAAGCCAGGCGGTGGTGGCGCACGCCTTTAATCCCAGCACTTGGGAGGCAGAGGCAGTCGGATTTCTGAGTTCGAGAGTTCGAGGCTAGCCTGGTCTACAGAGTGAGTTCCAGGACAGCCAGAGCTACATAGAGAAACCCTGTCTTGAAACAAACAAACAAACAAACAAACAAACAAACAAACAAACAACACTCAAGTCTCCGGGCTTGGCAGCATAAGCCCTTTCCTGCTGACCCATCTTGCCAGCCTAAGAATGTATAGTTGTGTTACTCTGCCTGGAATTTGTTAAGCAAATCAGCTTGAGTCTCTTAGTCTTTCATCCTCTGGGTCACTGTTCTCTCCAGGCACCAGTCTGCAATTTCCTTCTCTAGGATGTTGCTAGACCACAGTCTTTCCTTTGAGACCCTGCTAATAACTCACTTTCTCTCAGTCATCTTTCAGAATCACTCCTTTATGTCAGGCATGGTGGCACCAATCTTTAATCCCAGAACTTGGGAGGCAGAGGCAGATGGAGCTCTATAAATTTGAGGACAGCTAGGGCTACAGAGTAAGACCTTGTCTCAAGAAACAAACACAAAACAAATTTATTTTTTTAGCTTCAAATAAAATATCCCATCTTCATGTTTCCTGAGAACTTCTCTATAGAGTACTGATGCTTGTAAGGTACCATCCAAGAGAAAGGAAGCTACCCTTTCTGTTCTGCTCTGTTGCTTGCTGATGTATGACCTCGGATTGTGTGGATTATTTGCATTACCGATTCACCTTGAGTCACCAATAATGCATCAGTATTGAAATAAGGAAACAAATAAAAGCACTTCTCCTTGGTGTCATTTAACCAAGGGTGAGAATACATTTGAATTCTCTATTTCATGCTTCCTGTCTTCTGCATGAGTCTATGTCTGTGGCTGCATTTGTACCTGTGTCTGTCCCTGTGTGTTTGCCTATTCTATATGTTCTCTCTGTGTATAATATATGTGTCTGTCCTTCACAAAGGGCTTCACTTTGTGTTTATTAAACAGCACAGAACGCATCACACAGGAAGGAGTGGGATCCTTTAGAGAAGTCTTTAACAGACTTGTACAAGGGATAAAATGCCTGGGTCCAACTTATCCCAACTGACTCAGATAACAAATATAATTATTTATCAAACAATATACATACTTAGTTGCTTTCAGCCTTTATAGTAGATTTTATGAAGTTGCTTTCAACTTCTGTATTTGCTGCTTTCAGCAAATGATACACATACATTGTCTGCGTCAGGGTATTTAAGAGTATATAATTTAAAATTATATCTATGCATCAACTTAGGTGGCAAAAGTTTATTACATGGAAATCCAGGGCAAGTTAGGTTGGTTGTGACATTATTCTTGTAAAAAGCAGGTTAAACAAACAGTTTGAGTACCCAGTAGGCTAGCAGTCTTAAGTGACTTCAAGGTGTATTATTAACTCTGGCTGTGAGGTCCAGCAAAAGTGCCAGTTTTGTAGTATGTAAGAGAGAGTATGTCAGAATACTGCATTACCACAGTGGATGCCATTAAACCTTCCAGAACCACAGTCTCTGACGTGTGTGGGCCACTGTGCTGGCCAGTTTTTATGTCAACGTGGCACAAGG